TGAAGGGACTGTACGGCAAGCAACTTGTGGTAAGCAACAGGGTCTCCCTCGATGTTGACAGAAACATCCTGAAGGGCCCTCGTAGTTGCTGTATTCCTAGCCCTTGCGAATGGAATGTTGCGGGGCCTTGACTTCTGCTGGGAGGACCTAGTGGGAGTTTCGAGGTCTTCGGTACGGGAGAGAGACTGGATTTGCGGTACGAAGCGCGTATCGATTTGAATGAAAGCTGTCCACTCGATCTTAGGTACCATGCGCTCAGCGTTGACGGCCTCAATGAATGCTTCCCAGTTGAGGGGGTACCGTAGTCGACACCATGGTGCATCCTTGGAACGACCGCGTACAACTTTTTATTGAATGTAGGGAGTAAGGGAGTGAATGTTGATGCCCTCTTTGACCACAGGGTCCTGACGCAACTCCTCGAGGGCGAAATCGAGCAATAGTGGTTGAACAAAGTCCCATTCTTTCAGGGGGTCGACCATGAAGGGTCCTTGGGCATACCTAAATTTCGGCTCCCTAGTAACAATTACCTGAACCATGAAATCATTGTATAGACTCACAGGTTCAGGAGCTGGGTCTTCGATTTCGAGATCAATGACTGTTTTGGTACGTTTAACCCTGGCGGGTGGTTTTGACGGAGGGCTTGAACGCAAATCATCCTCGAGCCTAGGCGGGGGTTTGGGGGTGCGGCTTGAAGCCCTGAGCTGAACTGATTGTTTGGCTGCTCCTCTCAGCTTCCTAGGAGGCATATTGATGGAGATATGACGCGTTTTGTTGGAGTGTCGATGTCAGACGCGCAGGGGTGATTTTAGGCCCTGCGACAGGCATTTTGCAACCAGCAGTACTGCTGTGTGCAAACTTCTTGACGTAACTTTCCCATGTGCGCGCGAATCATAAACTCCATATGACAAAAACCCCTAAAACAACATAGATAAAGGCCTCGGAGGTCGAGTAACGGTTCAAACTGAGCATACCTATCCTTAGCAATCACGTCGTGCCACCGGTTTTGGGCCACAAGGCCTCCCTCAGTCGCTTCATGCTGAAAAGGTGATTTCAGGTTTAAGAAAGAAACAGACCCTGGAAGCCACTAGGGATGCAGCTCCGGATTCCATGAGATAGAGGGAGCTTAGATGAACAAGTTCTACGTGTGGTTTCTTTGATTCTAACAGTTTTTGAGGTTTGTGGGTTCAGAGAGTGTTTTCGTTGCTTTCATGCATGTTCATGCAACATCATGCACCTATTCCAAAACCTTTCTTAATGTCACAACTCTATGAGAGACGGTACTACACGCGTTTTGAGGACATCTATCGATTCCTAAGAGTCTGATCTATTAATGTCTCCCTTGAAATCGCCCTTCCAAGCCTTGTCTACGAAGATGGGGGGGTTCATGAAACTATCCCCGCGCAGATAGGCGGTAAAATGCGCCGCGTCAAGAATTTTGCACACAGCAGTAGGCTAAATCCTCCATGGTCAAGTAAAATCATGTGTGTGCCGGCTGCGCTTGAACGTCTGCCAGTCTGAAGGACTTGCTGTCGAGAAAGGGTACGGCAAGCACGCAATCGGTAAATGATCTGACTACTCATGCTTGCCATCTACCCTTCTTTGCTCTGTCTTCGTCGAGTCGTCCGTCGCTTCGGGCATACAGTACCAAATTCATGGGCGGCTCATCGGATTAAAGTAGTTCCGTGCTACCCAGCGGAAGGCATCCGGTAGTCGCACACGCCAAACAAATTTAGCAGCTTCATACAAACGCCCATCTGCTCTAAGAAAAAATGGCAAGCACGCAATTGTTTTCTAGAATGGGGAGTCATCTCGAAGAGCATGTCGATGTCGCAATTGACCTGGTCAACGACATATACATACCGCGTGCTGGACGTTGACGCTCGTGGATAAAAACATACAATCATGTCGGACGTGAGCTCGCGATCGAGTGACAAGCACGGGAAAGCACCTGGAGTCGTTGCGGTTCAGGATGATTCTGCGCCTTCGTACGATCAAGAGAGCAATGTAGATATCCCCCATACGAGCGAGTCGCGCAAACAGATTGGTCTCATCAGTGCGATCTTCCTGTATGTCCCTGCCCTCTTCTCTGATCTGTTTCGTCTTCTAACTCTTGTGTAGCATCTTCAACCGCATGATCGGTACCGGAATCTTCTCCACCCCAAGTACCATCCTCTCCCAGAGTGGCAGTGTCGGCCTCGCACTCTTCATCTGGTTCGGCGGAATGCTGATCGGAATGGCCGGTATGGCAGTATATGTCGAGTTCGGAAGTAAAATCCCTGTCAACGGCGGGGAGAAGAACTACCTGGAGTTCGTGTACCGGAAGCCTCGGTTCCTCGTAACGGGACTTTATACCGGATATGTCATGCTCCTCGGCTGGGCAGGATCGAATAGTGTCGTGTTTGGAGAGTATATCCTCAACGCCGCAAACGTCGAGGTCAATCGCTGGAATCAGCGTGGTATCGGATTGGCTTGTGTCACCTCCGCATTCCTCATCCACGGTCTTGCTCTGAAATGGGGACTGCGTCTCCAAAACGTGTTGGGCGTAATCAAGCTCATCATCCTCCTCATTATTATCGTCGCAGGTTTCGCCGCGCTGGGGGGCCATCTCAAAGTCGACAAGCCCGACAACTTCTCCAATGCATTCGAAGGCACGACTGGGTCAGCTTACGGTGTCGTCAACGCACTCTACAACGTAATCTGGTCCTACATCGGATACTCTAACGCAAACTACTCCATGTCCGAGATGAAGAACCCCATCCGCACCCTCAAGATCGCGGCGCCCACAGCGATCATCATCGTCGGAATTCTCTACATGCTCGCAAACATCGCATACTTCGCCGCTGTCCCCAAAGCCGAAATAATGTCCTCCGGCCGCATTCTTGCCGCCTCATTCTTCCGCAACGTCTTCGGTCCCCGCGCAGAGCGTGCCCTGTCAGTCTTCGTCGCCCTCTCCGCCTACGGAAACGTCCTGTCGGTGATCTTCTCCCAAGGCCGTCTCGTTCAAGAACTCGGCCGCGAGGGAATCCTCCCCTTCTCCTCCCTCTGGGCGAGCAACAAACCCTGCAACGCACCCTTGATGGGTCTCTTCGAACACTGGATCGTCTCGGTAATTATCATGCTCGCTCCACCCCCAGGAGACGCCTACAACCTCATCCTAAACGTCATCTCCTACCCCCTCTCCATCGTCAACGTCTTCGTCTCCATCGCCCTCATCTGGCTCTACACCCACCGCGCCGCCTACAACTGGTACCCATCCCTCTCCGCAACCCTCCCCGTCGCAATCTTCTTCCTCCTCTCGAACCTATATCTCGTTATTGCGCCTTTCGTACCGCCCGAGACTGCGGCTCAGAATGTGTATAAGAGCTTACCGTATTGGTTGCATTGTGTGATTGGATGGGGAGTTATTGCAGCTGGAGGGGTTTATTGGTTGGTTTGGGCGGTGATTATGCCGTGGTGGGGTGGGTATAGGTTGGAGAAGGAGGTTGTTGAGGCGCGTGATGGGTGGACGAGGAAGAGGTTTGTTAAGGTTCAGGTTGCTAAGGGGGAGTAGATTTATGGTTCTCTGGGGTTTATGTAGGTTTGGAGTTGTACGTTAATGCGCATAATATAGTTCAATAATGTATCATTCAAGCATTCTTCAGACATCGTAGTAGGTTCTCAGTCCAGGCCATCATTGGTCAGTCCACGGCCCGGTTGCAATTGAGGATGTCCTCGTCGTGCTCACCAACTCATGCTATAGGTATAAGTATGATAGTGCTCCATTTCTCCCTCGAAAATGCCAAGCTTCCTCTCAGATCTTGACACGACCACCGTGAGCCCGTACCGGATTAGGCTTTCTCTTCTTTACCAACTACTCACTTCTTAGCGAGTATACTTACAACCAGCTTTCCAGCTATCAACAACCTCAAAACAACTACTACAACAATGTCCAGCATGATCGACACCAGTGAGCTCGCGGTTTGTTCTTCTGAACTTCTCACCTTTGCCTATGCTAACCTTCTTCGACAGGAACTCGCTTCGTTAAGGCGAAGCAGACTATCACTGCTGCTCTTGAAGACGTGAAAGAGGCCCTCCTTCTGCTTGAATTGAAGGAGGCTGGGATTTCTTTCCCAGTTTGTGATACTATTCACTTGGTTAACCCGCTTACTGTCTGTTACCATGTGTGTCATGAGCTCACTACTGGCCAGCTTTGGTACTAGTTCAGCAAAAAGAAGTCCGGTGATTCCGCATTGCGTAAGTTCAAGCGTAGCGTCCCGTCAGTTTTTGGATTCAATGAAGGTCAAGGCAGAAGCTGAGACGAGGAAGGAGAAGGGTGCGCTTCTTAAAGCGGTCCTGAAAGCGGCGGACAAGAGAGTCGATCACCGCGCTCGCGAAGAAAGTTACAGGTAAAGCTGGGCAGCAGAACGTCAATTCTACAGGTAAAGCTGGGAAATTGGTGACTCCCCCTTCCTTCGGACTCTTGCCTCCTCGCACTACTAACCTCCCCATCTCCCTACCCTATACCCCCCCAACGAGTTCCCACTCCCTGCCTGTTATTTATTTGGGCTCGTTGGATCCCAAGAGAACGGTGTCCCGACACCGCAATTGAGGGAGACTGGCTTGAAGGCCACCTCTAAGCGCAGAAAAGTTACTGCGCCGGCCACTCCGGTTACCGCTGAAAAGCCCCGGTGGAGATAAGATGGTAAATCTCCCTACAAAATGGTGGGTAGTGCGTGAATAAAGGAGGTGAGGAACGGGGTCTGACGACGGTCATACGATCCGTCGCTCATCCTGTGTTGCTGGCCCGGTGCTTTATGGTACCGTGCTTGTGGTTCAGGATGTGAATTGTCATTGTAGAGTGCACCCAATTCGTAAACAGTAGCTGTATGTTTTTTCTTCTCAAAGCAACGCATTAACCCTTTGAGCCATCGTAAACCCTCTTTCTATTTCCAAATACGTCTTCCGAATCCGGAAGATAACCACCCTCACATGGTTCGCACAACCTATCCACATAATTCGGATTGATAAAAGCGGTTCAGGATGTGAATTACTATCGTGAGAGTGCAGCCGTCGTGGTAAACAATGATGTATTCATGCCCTTCCTCAATATCGCTCAGCCCTATCGTAACATTCCCTCAACTCCTCCCGCGCACCCAACAATCCGCAACGTTACTACTTATGGGTTGATAACCACCTTCTTTCCACTAACACCCTTCTTCAACGTATCCATAGCCTTCTGCGTACCCTCCAACCCACCCTCAACAACCAATGGCGCCGGTGCAGGCTTAACCTGTCCATCCGCCAACGCACCGGGCAAATACTCATTAAACAACCACTTGCCCAACTCGGCTTCCTGCGTTGCCAACAACCCCGCAAAGACTCCAGAGGCCTGGATACCTTCGGGGAGGTTTTCGGGCGGGGGAAGGGTGGTGGCGACTTTACCGGTCTTGATGACTTCGGCGCTTTTCTCGACCGAGCCGCCTTCGGAGATAGCGTCGAATGCGCCGACCCACTCGCCGCCAGAGACGGAATCTTGGATCTTGGAAACGACCTCGGGGTCTTTGTAGTCAAACACCTTCGCAGCACCAAGGGAGATCACCAAATCATGGTTGTGTGCGGAGGCGGTAGAGATGACGGTGTAGCCTGAGCGAGCCGCGAGCTGAACGGCGGAGGCACCAACGGATGAGGATCCACCCCAGATCAAGAGGTTGTGCTTGGCGCGGGGAGCTTCGGGAGTTCCGGAGGGACGGACAAGGCTCAGGTGTTTGTCGGAGAAGAGACCGTGGGCGGCGGTTGCGAGGCCGAGGGGCAGAACAGCGCCTTCGTCGAAACTCACGTTCTCGGGGAGCTTGGTAACCAAGAACGAAGGAGCGAGGGTATACTTCTGGAATCCGGCGTACTCGGGCTTTCCACCAAGTCCAAGAGACGCGGCGTATGCGAGGACACGATCACCCTTCTTGAACTCAGTCACACCCTCTCCAACCTCCTCGATGGTACCAGCAACGTCCGTACCGAGGATATTGGGGTATGTGTTAATGAAATACCCCGAATCTTGGATTTTCCAGTCGACGGGGTTAATTGCCGCGGCGGCATTCTTGACGACGACTTCACCCTTGCCGGGAGTGTAGACGGGGGCTGAGTCAACAACGACGGGGTTTGCTTTTGATTCTTTGATCCAGGCTGCTTGGTTGGACATTTTCGATTGGACTGATCTGTGATCTGCTGGTTGTGAGGATTTGATGGACTGCAGGTTTTGGAGGTTGTTCTTATACGCGGGGGATCTGATCACGTCACTCGGACTTTTCGCAGCGCTTCGGTGCATCTGTGCTTAATAAGCCCTCGGGAATGGCAAAAGGGAAATGGCGAATATGGCGAAAGAATGGTCAATTGTATTGATCATTTGATCCGGAACGGGAGGCGGATCCAATGTAGAGGAAGGTCCGATACGAACAGATGCCTGCTGCTTGTCATTGCTACATGAGAACCTCATACCGTAGCCACGAACCATTGACCAGTGATCCCATCGTACCAGATCCTGCTGACAGTGAACACTTTGCAGAGCACCACGAAGATGAAGATGAACAATTTGTAGAACAAACAGGCCAATCAATTGCAATCGAAAGACTAATAAGATTAAAAGGCGACAAGGTCGCAGACCAGCCGCTAGCCTATTTATAAATAGAATGCTAACCAAAACGGTCGGGTATCAACGGTAAACTAATGCCCGAACACAGTTTAAAAACTCCGGTATCCCCCTCTATCATATTATATACAATCCGTCATCACTCCTTTTCAGCGACATTGCTTACGTGCAAGCAACGTTGGCGAGGTACCCAGCAGACTGAGAAATCAAGCCAGAGCCGCCATTGGCAAGGTTGGTGTAAGGAACGATAGAAGAGTAGAGCGCACAGACCGCAACACCACTGTTGATGTAGATGTTGAAGAAGTTGCATCCAGAGGTGGAGGAACAGTGAGCCGCACAATCAGATGTGGAGTACCCAGACGAGGGGTAGTAAATACCCATGTAGTTGTTGTTGATGGAAGAGACAGAGGCGCTCATTCCGTAGAAAGTCTCCTGCCATCCAGAAACGGGGGAGGGGATAGCGGCGGCGGTGACGGCAGCGACGGTGGAAGCGACAGCGGAGGTAGCAGAAGCAACGGTGTCAGAGACGATAGCAGCCAAGTTGGCGGTGGTACCCTTGGTGTAGAGGGAGAGACGATTACCGGCACCACAGTAGGTGGAGGAGTCACCGTTACACGTCATGGAACAGTCAGAGAGTGAGGTAGAGACGGAACCGAGAGACAAAGCGTTTCCGGCCCAGCACTCACCACCGTACTCCATACCGGCCATAGTCCATCCAGCAGCGGCAGCAGCGTCCAAACATCCTTGGATGGTCTGCTGGGCAGTGCTAAGAGACATGAAGTTCAACAAAGCACGGGCGTTGGTAGCCTCAGTGTAACAACCCTTGGAAGACCAAGTTCCGTACGCGGACAAGTGAGTAGGACCAGCGGGGGTAGCGACAGCAGCGACGGAGGAAGAGGTGGAGGTAGTGAGAGTGACACTGTTCAAGGCGTAACCGTAAGAGTCGACAATGGCAGTAACGTCACCAGATCCGTAGTTGGTAGCAGTATTGCCGTAGTTGACCTGGCTGTACAAGGAACAAATGTACTGGGAAGTACCATCGCTCATCTGCTGGGTGTACATGTTGAAGAACTGACATCCGGAGACGGAAGTACAGAAGGCTGCGCAGAGGTCAGAGTTGGCAGAGACGAGAGGCTCGTAGGTCATGTAGCCGGAACCCTGAACAGCACCAGTCTTGGCAGAGAAGACAACCTGGTATCCAATGGGGGTGTTGAAGCTAGTGGAGGCGGTGGAGGTGGCAGCGGCAGCGACGGAGGAGGAGGTGGTGGTGGTCTGCGCAACAGGGGCGACAGTGGTGGAGGAGGAGGTAGATGTAAGGTAGACGACACCAGTGTTCACAATACCACCGCCGATGTTAGCGACAGGGGTAGTCGCGGAGGAAGTGGTGGTGGTTGAGGATGTAGTGGTGGTTGAGGATGTGGTGGTAGAGGATGTAGTGGTGGTTGAGGATGTAGTGGTGGTCGACGAAGTAGTGGTGGTAGGAGCGACGGTAGTGGTGGTCGACGAAGTAGTGGTGGTAGGAGCAGTAGTGGTGGTAGAGGATGTAGTGGTGGTCTTGAGGGTGGTAGTGGTAGGCTTAACGGTAGTACCGAAAGCGAACGCAGCAGTCCATCCAGAGGGGTTCAATCCACCAGCAAAGTTACCATTGATGTTGGAGTCCTCAAAGGTGATGGTGTGGGTACCAGCGGAGAAGGGACCGAAGATTCCGTTGGACCAGCCAAGGGAAACACAGGTAGCGGGGTCAGTACCACAGTTGGAGGTCAAGTCGGTCTGGTAGTCCAAAGAGGTGTAACCCTGGTAGACACCGTCGACGTAAAAAGTGTACATGTTACCCTTGGTACCGATGTCTGTGATCTGAACCCAAGTGTTGTCGGTGAAGGCGACAGAGGTGGCATAGGTAGAGTAACCAGTTTGAGTAGAGGTAGTCTTGCGGTTGGAGACGAAGGTGGAGTAGGCGGGGGCACCGGTGCAGGTAGACCACGCAGCGTAGGAGGTCACCGTGCCGGTGGGGGCAGTGGTGGTGGTAGTGGTAGTGGTGGTGGTAGTGGTGGTAGTGGTGGTATCGTCGCTACCAAACCACCAAGGCTCGGCCTCAGCGACAGGAGCCGGAGCCGGAGCGGCACTGGCCAAGAGGGAAGCAGCCAACAAGAGGGCGGCGTTAGTCAAGAGCTTGATGGAAGGCATTGTCGTCAAAGAAGGACACCGAGTCGATAACTAACAGCGGATGGATGGGGGGAGGGGGGAGGGGGGAGGGGGGGAGGGGTTCTTATAGACCGTGGAGGGGGCAGGCCTTTGTGACGACGGATGCGGTGTCCCGGAAAAGAACTTTCACACATGGCGTTCTGAGTCGTTCGAGAATGTCTCGCGCGCACAGACCAGGGAGCCGAGTGTCGTGGGCTTGTCTCGCAGGCGGTCTGGGCCACACGTGCTCTTAGGTCTGTGCACTGCGTCGGGGCTTCTGGTTGGTCAATCCAAAAGCCGCCGACGTCTGACACGGGTGGACCCGCTCCATGTGATTGGCCGCGCGCAGCACGGTACTGCTGGACGTCAAGCAGCGTTGACACGGCACAGCAGCGGACAGAGACGCCCGGACGCCTGCTTCTTCCATTAGCAGGGTCTGTGCACTGCGTCGAAGCTTCTGGTTGGTCAGTGCGCGCGCTTCCGAAAGCCACCGATCAGGAACAAAGCAACCTCAGTCACGTCTTTAAGGGAATGGGTGGAGGTGGTTCTTAGTCCGCTCCATGCGATTGAGCACTTCCTCATCGTGCCCCTTCCTTTTCCTCTAGCACGCACGTACCAGCCAATTGTCAACATCTCGCTTAATATTTCGGAATATCTATCAGCCAGCTTGTCTTGGAGAGATGTCTCATTCTGTCTCAGCAAATCCCCTTCAACGCAAGGGATCAGTAGAAATAATACGTTTCGCCAATGCCCGGATGCTGTTGTTGGTAGCGCAATTGGCTTTGTGCTGGCGCTGGCGAAGCGGGTAGGCGCATTGAAACCTGCCAGGGCGGGGCTAGAACCAGTCCCCGTGGTCTGCCGCCGAAGGCATAATTAGACGATCCTGAAGAGTGAGGTATCAAATTGGGGATGTAGCTCATCTGGTAGAGCGCTCGCTTAGCATGCGAGAGGTACTGGGTTCGACTCCCAGCCTCTCCACAAATTTCTTTTTCACGTTTTACACCCTAAGTCCCACAATGAATCAACGGCATGCGCCAAGACGTTGAAGACACTAGACGGGACAGACGTTGATTGTGAATGCTATGCTAAACCACATCTTGACTACTCCGCAATAGCAACCCTCTTCCTCTTCTTCTCCCTCACCTCCTCCACCGGCGCCACAAACCCCTCCTCCCTCTCCCTCCTCTTCTCCGCACTCCTCTCCTCCCTCTTCTCGGCCTTCGCCTCCTTCGCCTTCCTCTCCCTCTCTCCAGCCTTGAGAAAATACTCTCCAGACTCCAACTGCTTGTCGACCTTGGACATAGTCGGTGCTGGAGGGAAGGGGGTGTAGACCTTTTTGGGTTTGACGGTTTTGGGGGCGCGGCGGGCAACGTTGCGTTTTTTGAATTGAGGGAGGAAGCGGTCCCAGGATTCGGTTGCTAGGGCGGGGTTCTTTGCGAGTTCGCGTTTGATCATGAGTTCCTGTTATCAAAGATTAGCCTTCTGTTCCGCGGGTGCGCATCGCACTCAGCATCGCTGCCCTTCACCGGGGTTTGACATACCTTGATATGGTAAATCGGATGAATGTTCTTCATACAATCCTCAATAACCTTCCTAACCTCCTTCAACCCCTTGAAACCACCCATGGCAGCCACAGTATTACCCTGCACCATAATATAACACTGCGTCAACAACTCCAACGCTTTCAGCGTCTGTCCCCCCGGTCCCAAAATTCTCTGTCGTCTCTTCACGAATCTCTCCTTATTTCTGACGAGGTTACCAATCTTGATGATATCACATGCAACTGCGTCGTCCATGATCTTGATAGCTTGGGGGAAGGGAACGGAACGGGCGAGGAGTTTGATGAGGTCGCGAGCCTTGAGGATGGATGAGGGATCGTAGGTTTTGCGGGTAGTTTTGACTGTCATGGAACCCTCCACCAAATCCAGAACGGCGGTGAGTCCATATCTCTCCAACGCTCTCGTCAAATGAGGCCAGATCTCGCGCAAGTATCGTTCGCGATACTTGGGAAACAGCGTGGCGAATGATGACTCTTCCGTGAATGATCCAGCCACGTTGTCCTCAGCGGTGAAAGGATCGACCTTCCAGTGGTCGATGTCGTCGGTATCCCATGGCTTTGGCTTGCGGTAACGCTTGTTCTTGTTGACAACTGGGGCTTCAGTAGCCTCTTCGACGGTGTCCTGTGGTCTTTCTTCTGTGTCTGACATCGTAGGTCGTCTTCTTCTTACTGAATTGACGGGGATGGTTGTTGACTGACTTTAACTTTTTCGCCTCGGCCTCAGCCTTATCGACAAGAAACTTCTGCGCCCTCGAAAGGTGTAGCGCACGTGACACGTCAGTTCAGTCCATGGGATGAAGACAGATAAGTTATTTTTTTCCTTCATACGCACTCAAAAATAATCTACACTTACTCTACTTCTCCCCTTTTGTCAATTCCCGGCCGGGTACATCGGCAAGTTTTGCCCCACAACGTTAACTCGTGAACCTCGGGAGTTGTCGGTACCCGCTTAATAAGCTTAACGAGAAACTCACCACCATGACAATTCGACCATGACAGTCGCAATGGAGAAGGATAAACATCATGATTCAGAGTCAGAGTCAACGACAACAATCCCGGTAGATGGGGGTCCACCTCTTGAAACTGGCGCAGATCGCGACCTTGAGCCGGCGCATCCCGAGAACGAGAAGAAGCTTCGTGTGGAGGATGATGTTACCCTCGTCGAGTTCAAGGATGGCGACCCGCTGAATCCTTTGAACATGTCTCCAGCACGAAAATGGTTGATCACAATTATTGTCTCAAACGCATCCCTATGCGTGACCTGTAACTCCTCAATCTACGTACGTCCTATTCCTCCCTTCACTCTTTTTCCTCTTCTATCAGCTAACAATGGCGACAGACATCAACATACACCGGAATCCAAGATTCTCTCCACATATCCCACATTGTCGCAATCATCGGCCTAACCCTCTTCATCGCTGGCCTAGGAACCGGTCCCCTCTTCCTCGCCCCCCTCTCAGAATTCTTCGGCCGCCGCCCAATCTACCTAATCTCCTACACCCTCTTCTGCCTCCTCAACATCCCTCTCGCCCTCTCCCCAACCGTCTGGCTTTTCCACCCCGTTCGATTCATCCACGGTATGACCGGATCGGCGTTTTTGTCCGTAGCGGGAGGTACGGTGAGTGATATGTTTGCGAAGAAAGATCTTGGAGGACCAATGGCGGTGTATACTGCCAGTCCGTTTCTGGGACCTGTTGTGGGTCCGATATTGGGTGGATTTATTGTCGCGGGCGCGGGATGGAGGTGGGTGTTTTGGGTGAGTTTGATATGGAGTTTCGTCGTGCTTATTGCGATTGCGCTCGGTGTCCCCGAGACTTATGCGCCCAAGCTTCTCGTCAAGGTCGCTGCTCGGGAACGTCAAGAAACAGGCAATCCCAACTTGCGGGCGCCAATGGAAGTCTCCCAGAAATCCATCCTGAAGACGATCGGGGTTTCGGTCCTCCGTCCCTTCCAACTTCTCATTTACGAACCCATCATCCTCGCACTCAACATCTACACCGCTTTCCTCCTCGGCATCCTCTACCTCTTCTTCCAAGCCTTCCCACTCGTTTTCCACGTTTCTCATGGGTTTCCGTCATCGTGTACTGGGTTGGCATTCTTGGGAATTGGGATTGGGATGGTTGGAGCTACGTTGTCACAGCCGTATTGGAATGGGCTTTATGCTAGAAGGGCGCAGGAGTTGGCGGAGAAGGGGGAGGCGATGGTGCCAGAGGAACGGTTGAGAGGTGCCATGGTTGGTGGAGTGCTGGTTCCCGTTGGGATGTTGTGGTTCGCTTTCACCTCTTACAAAAGCATCCACTGGATCGTGCCCATCATCGCCGGTATACCCTTCGGTGCTGGTGTACTCTTGGTTTACATCCCAGTCTTCTCCTTCTTGGTCGATTCGTACCGGGTTTACGCGGCGAGTGCACTCGCGAGTAATTCGTTTGTGAGGAGTAGTTTCGCGGCGGGGTTCCCGCTTTTCTCGAGTGCGATGTATGCGAGGTTGGGGAATGTCTGGGCGAGTGCGGTTCTTGGGTTTATTTGTCTGGCGATGATGCCGATACCGTTCTTTTTCTTCTACAAGGGACAAACATTGAGAAAGTGGAGTCGGTATGCTTATTCTTGAGTGTTGACGAGAAAGCAGAGGCAACAGAAGGAAGGAATTGGCATTTGATACCGAAGCATTTCTGCATACCTATATTAATAATTTCAACAAAAATATGAATACAATTGCATTCGGATCAAAAGGAATGGCAGTATAAGATACAGCACCCGAGTATTCCCAGCTGGTCTCCCACGCTAGTACTGACTGGGCCCTATGATGCTTAACTTAGGAGATCGGACGGGATCCTGTGCTTTCATCATGGTATGGCCGTATCTGATAGTCCTTTTTTTGGAATAAACTCATCTCAAATGCAGCGGAATCGAGCTGTGATGTATCTTCGATTGCCCACGAAGGCGGAGGCTGGATCGTAGTCGAGTTTGCGCAGAGCAACGCAATCCGCAGAAGATGTGATAGGAATACCGCCTCCTCCTGAATGTTAACTTGTGGTTTTTGTCCTTACTGAGGCATTTTCACATAACCATGGTGATCGTGTGCGAAAACACGTTGTTCCACAAAGGGAATGTCCTGCCACCTGTTATTATCTGACACAAAAAAGAGAGAAGGGTGATGTGACGATATTCCCTGTTGCAAGCGACGTGTCGGGAACGCGCGACAGGTTTTGGCACAGAAGAACGCTTGCCACACACACCGTACTCGTGATCGTTCATATCGTTGCAATCTGGTTATGAGCACCGATGGTCATTGAAAAGCGGCCTTACGTGGGTTGAATGTTTGATCGAATGTCTCCATCGGTCGTAACTGTTGGGCTCCATCCTCCACTTGCAAAGTATTGAACGTTCCCACGCATCCTGAATGGTGCCGGCATTTGCAAACGTTCCCATTTGATGGCGAAGACGAGCAATGTGAGGGACAAGGGCGTGTACGATATGGATAGCATGGCGGAGGTAGTGAGAGAGAAGGCTCTGTACCAACAGAAGATATTTTTACACTTTGCACCGGTTCCTCCGTGAAGTCAGCTCGCAGATCTAAACTCGGTAATTTCTGTGAGTATTATCAGATATGCCCATGGCCGCCATAGACATCTGCAGCTGCGGATATCGATGTCTCGAAAAAACCGTACCTTCATGGATCCAGCTGTACGAACCGCCATCACTCATTCGAGCAACATCTCCATGGTTCGGGGTAATCCTCGATATCCGTCACACTCCCTCTAGATCTTCGAACCCGCACGCCTGTATGTCGATCTCGGAATGAACAGAAAGACAAAGTTGGGCAAGTCACAAGCATGGCCATACAGTTACAAGGAACAGACAGAACTTCAGCCAAAATGATCCCCTTAATCGAGTACCTGATATATACTTCAAAAAAATCACAAACCCAACAACGATAACGTTACCCCGCATCCCTCCCCCACAAAAATGGAAAATGAGTAAAACAACTCCCGAGTCCCATGAGACCAGCTCTCTATGTACCACCATAAACATCCCAGAAGTTCAACCCCATTTTGATTCAAGCGTTAAGAACACTCTCAACAACCTCCCACCCCCTAACCCCCAACACACTCAACAAAGAATCACTCAACCCATGCGTCCTCTCACACGTCCCCTGCAACCAAATCCTCGGTCCTTCCTTCCCATCTACCAGCTGCACACGATAATCACGAGAAATAACGATATCTTCCTCCTCGCTTACCTCACCATCCGCGGACCCGGATCGGGTTGCGGCGGTACGGAGGAGGTGGGAGAGGGGCGCGAGGAGGGTGCGGTAGAGTGCGCGGTGGTATCCCGTACCCAAGAAAATGGCATCATACGTTTCTTGATACTCCTCCCCCGTCGCCGCATTCCTCATCTGTAGCGTAAATGACTCGTCCTCATTCGGTTTCACTGCCAGAATTTCTCTGCGAGTCAAGATCTGCGCACGGGGACGAGTGCGTGAAGTGTCTGGGTGTAAGTTGTCCTGGATATACAAGTCCTCATACAACTCCTCCAATAACTCATTCCTCACAACACCATAATTCGTCGCACGAAGGTCTTGACGGACGCCGTCTCTCTCCGTCTCAGACATATCAAAGAACACATCCGTGGATTCTGGGTTGAAGACTTCGTTGACGAAGGGGCTGTCGTCTGAGGGTTTCAAAGCGCGTGCACGGATGACGAGGTCGATTTCGGAGGAGGAGGGGAGGATGTGGGTGAGGTGCCTGAAGATCTCGGCGGATGATTGACCTCCGCCCAGGACGGCCACGCGGCGAAGGGTGGGGAGGGGGAGGGATGGGAGTGAGGTGAGGAAGGAGGAGGAGTGGATTAGGCGTGGATGCGGGGTGTATTTTGCGAACAATGTCGGGAACCTCGCTTGGCCTCCCGTACTGAGGATGAGATTGCGGGTGAGGTAGGTCTCGGTCTCGTTGTTCAGCACGTTCCTCGCCGTGACGCGCACGACCCTTCCACCCTCCAACTCCGTCGTCTCAACACCCACGACCTCGCGTGAGTACCTAACAACCTCCCCAAACCTCCCCGCCGCCCAACGGAGGTAATCCTCATACTCCTCGCGTCTCGGATAAAAAGTCCCGAGATTGATGTAGTTCACAAGTCGTCCCTTACTCTTCAAGTAACACAGGAAAGAGAAAGAAGAGGTGGGATCGCGGAGGGTACACATATCCTTCAGGAACGAGATTTGCATACGGGAACCTGGGATCAACATCCCCGGGTGCCAACGGAACTGTGCTTGTTTCTCCAGGAATAAGACCGAGGAGGCTGGAGCGGTTTCGGAGGAGGGAGAAGGGGGGGTAGAGGTTGCGTAACCGCTGTCTGCGAGGGAGCCGCGGTGGCCGGGGAAGCCTTTGGTGTAGGAGGAGAAGATGTGGGATGTTGCGGGGTGGTCATGGAGGGCTACGGCGATCGCCAAACCGGCTGGGCCGAAACCTGCGCAGAGGATGTCGTGGATGGTGCCGTTCATGGTTGTGCTGCCAATGTCCATGTCAGTCCTCATTCATTACCCCGGGTGTATGCTTCGTCTCCGGGGATGTATGCTACTCTTGCTCACCTCTGCTACTGGATGTATGCTACCCTTGCAACTGGAAAAAGTCGAGGACGGGCACGGTGTCCTTAATACAAACGCTCCCTCGCCGATGCGCCGTATAAGGTAAGTCGATGATCAGTGTGGCTCGCCCGCTAACCACCAGGTGGGATTAGCGCCATCTGATAATTGTGATGGTCGGATCAGCGGAGTGGGCAGATGCGGCGATGATCTGCAGCTGCCTAGAGAGAGCAGCTGATCTGAGGACATGCTTCGGACGATAACCAGAGAGCCCGAGCATTGGCTAATTCCTCGCTCTTCCGTGCGTACGATGTACGTATACGAGCTCGAGGAACCGAGATCGATACCGTGAATTCGAAGCTGCAAAACGCGAGATCGTGTTCAACGCATGAATGAATGCGCAATCGTGCGTCTGAATCATGACCAATTGCAAGCTTTTCCGTCTCCTCGCTCCCCCACCATCACAGCACCGAGTCCATCAAGGTCATCTCTCCCTCCATTAGCTCGATCAGATAATTTACCCTTGCGCTAAAATGCATCCACACCTCACACCCAATGCACCCGAGTCGTTCATGCCAACACCAGCTAACGTTGTTAACGGCGCGGAATTGCTAGGAGCCGCGGTGGGGTGGACCGAGACTGCTCATCTCACCCAGCAAAGGGGCGGACGGGTGAGGCGCAGCGGTTGTGTGTGAGAGATATCTGATCTTGATCGACGATCTAGTTACCAGAGTAGGCTAGTGGCTGTCAAATTATCAGATCCAACGACACTTGACTAAGCCCAAGAGTGGGAAGGCAAAGACTGGGAAGGCATCAGGCTTATAAGGGTCACCGCCCTCAGCTGGCAAGGCGACGAGCAAAGGGCAACGCATTCATTCTCTGCAATGCTCTACACAACAATCCTACCCACCCTCACCACTTCCACCACCATCAATGCCTCCAACACCGTCTCTCCCACCCGTCTTCCTTCCGGAACATCTCAGGCGTCCGTTTTGAATGCCATCACCTCTTTTATGAGGGGTGTATGCGATTTAGACGCGGACGAGGATGTCGTGTTTGCGGTCGAGGACGACGAGGGTGAGATGAAGGTTTGTGTTGGTGGGGTAGTTGGAGAGGGTGAGGTCGATGGGGAGGGGTTACTTGTTTCTTTCTCCCGCGTTCATGGACGAAGTGATGTCCCGCATTTAGTCATTCATGGTGGGGAGATGAGGATGTATAATCATCTCTCCGCCGACTACATCCTCGAATCCATTGTCAAGCTCATCAAGGGAGAGACCATGAGGGAGGCGATATTGAATTCTGAGCCGGAGGTGTTGGATAATGACCAAGGGCTTCACCACATGTTCCTTGACTCTGCACGCGCGTTTCCGGCTCGTGTCGCGATTCGGTATCTCGACTCTCTCGGTTCGGACCAAGAGACCTGGACGTACGCCGAACTCGCCGCACTCTCCTCTCGTGTCGCGAATCGTCTTCCACTCTCCACTTTTGCGGGAACGACTGGAGTCGTGGCGGTGTATCTACCGCATCCGCATCATCCGCTCTTTTATGCCTCTATCTTGGGTGTACAGCGTCGTGGGCACGCTTACTGTCCCATCATCCCCGGCGTGACGCCCCTGGAGCGCGTCAAGTTCTTGTTAGGCGACATGTCCGCCACCGCAGTCCTCACCACCTCCACCCTCAAACCCGAGATCGAATCAATCTTCGCGGGCCAAGTCTTCGTTGTCGACGACCTTCTCTCCACGAAGGATGTGGTTGAGGAGGTCGTGGAGGGTGAGGGGGAGAAAGTCGCGAAGGGGCAGACTGGGTATATTTTGTATACGTCTGGATCGACTGGGATGCCGAAGGGAGTACAGTTGTCGCACCGAAACGCTGTTAATGCGATTCGTGCTCATTATCCTTACTTCCGTTCCTCCTCCTCGTCCACCCCGCAGCGGTTTTTGCAGTTTGCGAGTGTCACGTTTGATGTTTCTATTTTGGAGATTTATTTACCGCTCAGTCTGGGGTGGGAACTTTGTACTGCGCCTTCAGACGTCCTGCACTCGGATCTGGCGGGGACGATCGCGGGGTTGGGGATCGAGCATATGGAGTTGACGCCGACTGTTGCGTCACTTGTTAGTGCGGGGGAGTGTCCCTCCATCAAGAGTTTGATGACGATTGGGGAGATGTTGACCCCCCGTGTCGTCGATAACTGGTGTCCTCCCTCGAAGGATGGGGAGGAGAAGAGGGTAGTGTTGCACAACGCGTACGGACCAACCGAGACCGCGATTCATTGTTCCTGCTCGTGGGATTTCGGAGTAGGGAGACGCTGTGCTGATATCGGTATTCCACTCTCCACATGTGCCATGATGGTCATGGATTTCCGCACGCCTACACTTCTACCCGTTGGGTATGTAGGCGAACTAGTCGTTGGTGGACCTCAGGTCTCCGAACTTGGGTACCTAAATCGGGAGTCATTGAACAAAGAGGTGTTTTTCGAGTGGAACGGTATGCCTGTTTACCGTACCGGTGATAAAGGCCGGATATTGCCTGGGGGGCGGATGGAGTGTTTGGGACGTGTGGGTGGGGGACAAGTCAAGGTCCGGGGTGGACAGCGTGTTGAATTGGGCGAGGTCTCGTTTGCGGTTCAACGCTCGTTGACGCATGCCATGGCGGAGGTTATCTCGTTTGTGGCGGGTGAGGGGGAGCTCGTCACGTTCGTTGTTGGGAAACAACAGACGCAGAGTGAGGAAGATGTGAGGAGGGGTGCGGGGAGGTGGGTGCCGGGGTATATGGTACCGGGTGTTGTGCGGTGGGTTGAAGCTGTGCCTAAGACTGCCTCTGGGAAGACTGATATGAAGGCTGTGAAGGCGATGTATGCGGGTATGCCTCGTTCGGGCCCCTCCGATGCTGAGCACGAGCGAGATGATGACAGCGAGTGGACACCGAGGGAGGAGATGGTTAGGGATGCGATTGTGGAGGTTGCCGCGGGAGTTGAGGTAAGTCAGGTAAGGAAGGGGAGTGAGCTGAGGGTCCTTGGTGTCGATTCGATTGGAGTTATTAAGCTTATTGCTGCGTTAAGGAAAAAGGGGGTTGAGGGGTTAGCTGTGTCGGATGTTGTCCGTGCCGGAACCGTTGCAGATATTGCTGCGCTTATCAAAGACGAGGGTAAAGCGGAACATGTTGAGAATGTTGATGCGCAGAGGTGGGTGGGGTTGACGGGGTTGGTTGAGGGTGCGGAGAGTGTTGTGCCTGCTACCCCGATTCAGGAGGCGATGATTGCCGAGACGATCAAGGATGCTGAAGGCAGGAGGTATTACAACTGGGTCTTGCTTGAGATTGCTGAGGGCGTCGAGGCTTCGATTGTTGAGCAGGCTTGGAAGAGCTTGGTTGAGGCGAATGAGGCGCTCAGGACTGGGTTTGTCGTGAGCCCTGAGGATGTAAAGGAGTCGGAGTTCTTGCAGGTTGTGTACCCTGCTTCGCATCCGGTTGACTTTTCTGTTGAGGATGGCGAGGTCGAGGAAGTTGTCAACAAGCACAAGGAGGTTACGTTGACGATTGAGTCGATGCATCAGCCACCGCTTTCTGCGAAGTTGGTCAATGGGAAGTGGTTGTCTGTCATGATTTACCACGGCTTGTTTGATGGATGGGCGATGGAGTCGATTGTGCGTGATCTTGCGGCGTACATCTCTGACCCCACCGCCATCATCTCTCGTCCTCAGTTTAGGAAGGTGACGGAGTATGCCAAGCGCGAACGTGATTCAACACCCGCTCGCACCTACTGGACTGAACTCCTTAAGGACGTGCAACCTGTTCAGATGCCGAACCTTACCGGCCGTAGGTTCGTCCCGAGGAAGATTGCGCACGAGAAGTTGTCGCTCAAGAGTTCCGTCGAGGATATTGAGGCGTTCGCACGGAGTCGGGGTATCACGCCACAGGTTTTGTTACAGACTGCTTGGGCGTGGTTGTTGGGGATGTATACTGAGAGTAAGGATGTCGTGTTCGGCACCGTCGTGTCTGGACGCACCATCCCCGTCGCGGGCGTCGAGGATGTCATTGGTGTTTGTATCAACACGCTTCCTACTCGCGTGGGTCTCGAGGCTACAAAGACGATTGCCGAAGTCTTCCGTTTGTTGCAGAAGGACGGTACGGATGTTCTTGAGCATGTTGATCTTCCCTTGCGGGCTGTGAAGGCTTTGGCTGGGGTGGAGGCTGCTGAGACGTTGTTTGATACCATCCTTGTTTACCAGAAGACGCTGCATACTGGTGATGAGCAAAGCGCCGTTGTCAAGCAGGTCGATGGCGAGGACAGGCTCGAGTACACTGTTCTTGTCGAGGCTGAGGCTACTGGCAATGAACTCGAGTTGAGGGTGACGTATGAGCAGGCCAAGCTGCCTGCTGAACAGTGCAAGATCATGCTCGCTCAGCTTGATTCCCTCGTTGATGGGATGATGAGGATGGAGCCCACGTCTACGCTGGATGAGTTGGTTTCAATGTTGGGTCAGGAGCTGGTGTCTGTGGTCCCCGCTGAACCTGTCTTCGAGTCTATGAAGGATGAGCCGAAAACCATGCACGAGATGTTTGAGCTCACTGCGAAGAACTTCCCCGAGAAGGTCGCGATTGAGGTCGCTACGGACTTTGTCGATGGAACCCCGAAGTCGTCTGCGTTGACGTATGAGCAACTCAATGCCCGTGCGAATCAGGTTGCGAACTACTTGGTTAGTGAAGGTTCTCGCGTGGAAGAGATTGTTGCTATCAACATGGATCGAAGCATCCACATGTACGTTGCTATCCTAGCTGTTCTCAAGGCTGGAGGCGCCTACATGCCCATCATTCCTCAAGCACCAAAGGACAGAGTTGAGCACATGGTCTCTGCCACCGAATGTCGTTTCTGTCTTACCACATCATCCGACGACAAAGCCGTAGCCTCGCACCTGCCAGCGTCAGTGAAGATTATCGAAGTGGACGTTATGGATCTCTCTGCTCAAAGCCAAGGGAATATGACGCGAGGCGTGGATCCCTCGGCTCTGGCCTACGTGTTCTTCACGTCGGGTACCACAGGCACTCCCAAGGGTGTATGCGTGGAGCATGGCAATGTTGTTTACAACCTTGCTGCGCTCACACGCATATACCCATACGGACCCGAATCGAGGTTCCTACAGTTTTCTACTTTCCATTTCGATGTTTCCGTTTTCGAGATCTTCTTTGCTTGGAAGACCGGCATGGTCCTTTGTACGGCCCGCCAAGATCTCCTGCTCCGCGATCTCGAAGCAGCCTTCCGCGCGTTACGCGCTACGCATTCCAACCTCACTCCGACCGCAGCAGGTCTCTTGCGCAGAGATAATGTTCCATCTCTCGAAGTCCTCATCTGCGTCGGAGAAGAGATCACCGACAAAATCGTGAGTGAGTGGCATGGTCGACGTCTTTTCAACGGGTACGGTCCCACCGAGGCGACGAATATTTGTCACCTCTATGACCAGGTCCCGGCAGACGCGTCTGGCGGCAACATCGGGCGTGTCGTCCCGATGACTTCCGCGTATATCTTGTCTAACGACTTGAAGCCAGTCCCCCGCGGTGCTGTCGGTGAACTCTGCGTTGGTGGTCCACAGGTGACTCGCGGTTACCTCAAGATGCCCGAGTTGACCGCGCAGAAGTTCTTCGAGCTCGAAGGTGCAGGACGTGTTTACAAAACCGGAGACTTCGCTCGCCTTCTTCCTGACGGGTCCTTCTACTTCCTCGGCCGACGTGATGGTCAGGTAAAGATCCGTGGTTTCCGTATCGAACTCGGTGAAATCAGTGCGTCATTGTCCAAGTCAAAGAAGGTTAACGAGGCGATCACCATCGTCGTTGGATCAACCAAGCAATCGAAACTTGTTTCCTTCGTTGTGCCGACCGCGTCCATGTCGCAGAAGTGTGCAGTTGTCTCGGCTTCGACTGGATACGATGTCCCGTCTTTCGTCAAGGAGCTCTTTGATGCCGCACAACAGGCTCTGCCGTTTTACATGGTTCCCTCTGCTGTCGTCCTCGTTAGCCACCTGCCGCTTGGTAGCACCAACAAGGTTGACAAGGCACAGCTTCTGAAGGTCTATTCCGAGCTCGACAGCTCCGCTCGTGACATCTTCACCGCTGGCTCTGCCGCCGAAGACAATGACGGTGGCGATTGGTCTGATGTCGAGATCTCTTTGCGAGATGCTCTTGCGAATGTTTCTGGAGTTGACGTTGTTGACATCGGCCGATCAACATCCATTTACAAGCTCGGGTTGGATTCCATTTCTGCCATCAGGTTATCTCAGCACTTGAGAAAAGTCGGCTTCCATCAGCTTGATGTCTCGCAAATCATGCGTAACCCCACGATCCGTCAGCTTGCTGGAGTTGTTTCAAGGACTGTGAGGACCGAGTCTTCTGGTACAGACCGCTTCACTCGCGGTGAAGAAGTGATGCGAGCTTTTGCCGACAGACATATGGACCAAATCCTCCAGTCGTTGGAACTATCCCAGGCAGAGATCGAGGACATCCTGATATGTACCCCATTGCAAGAAGGTATGCTGGGAGACTCTTCACGCTTCCAGGGCTCGTACTACAACCACGCAGTCTATGAGGTCACCGCAGACGTGGACCTGAAGCGCCTTGAGGCAGCCTGGCGGGTGGTCGTGGAAAGGCATCCGATGATGCGCACATGCTTCTGTATCACTGAAGACCCGCATTATCCGTTCGCTCAAGTGGTTCTCAAAAAGCACCAACTGCCATGGTCTGTAACTGAAATATCTGGGGATAACCTTCTTACTGCCGTCGATGAACACATTGCTTGCATTGGTGCTGCCCTTGACGTTCGTCGCCCGCCGTACCACTTTGGTGTTCTTCGAGCTAGCGACAAAACGGTCATTGTTCACTCAGTTCACCACGCAATCTATGACGGATGGGCGAACGGACTCGTCGACGATGACGTCAAACAGTTGTATGCTGGCGGTAACTTGCGGGAGAGACCGGCTTTTAGGCGAGTTCTGGAGTATATTGCGTCCACAGACGAGACCGAATCTATCCGGTTCTGGAAGCAAAACCTCGAGGGATATGAGCCCACCGGTTTTCCCGACCTTTCTGGTCAATCCAGATTGGCGAAGGGCAGCGATGAAAGTGTTATTCTCTCAAAATCTTCTTCGCTTTCACGTGGCGAGCTTGAAGCCGGATGCCAAGCACTTTCAACTACCTTGCTTGCCGTGGTCCAATCTGCATGGACACGCATTCTAACTTCTTATCTAGATTCCACGGATGTTGTCTTTGGCAATGTCGTGAGCGGCAGAACGCTTCCCATCGACGATGTTCAAGAGATTGCCGGCCCTTGCTTCAACACTATCCCTGTTCGTGCCACATTGTCCAACACCACTACTAACCGTGAACTTGTGCAGCTCCTCCAGAACATCAATGCCGAATCGCTTCCCCACCAGCACACCTCTCTTCGCAAGATCATCAAATCCTGGGATGAATCTAGCGGGAAAAAGCTCTTTGACACTCTGATCATCTTCCAAAATGCCACCGATCCCCAACGTGACTCTGTGAACTTGTGGAAACTTATTGATGATAGGGCGCAGATGGATGTGAGTGTTCTAGGTTCTAGCATAGCGAGTGAGCGGCAGATGCTTATTCTCTGGTTGAGTAGTTTATCGCTGCAATTGAATTTATGCCTTCAAACGAATCCCTTGAAATCCAATTGTCCACCTGGAAGAGTTACATGCCGCAAGAACAGGCCAATGTTCTCCTCGAGCAACTCGATTGTGCCATGATGGACGTTCTCAAGCATCCTGATTCGCAGGCCGCAGATTTTTCCGCTGCTCTGCCCGACAAGTTGCTGTCGATCTCGAACTCCGATGCTGCTGTAATCCCCGTGAAGGAAAGCACTTTCCTGCACACAAACCTCGAACGTTATGCTCGAGAAGTGCCGGATCGCGTTGCATTGGAGTTCTGGGATGGCAAAGAGTTGCGCGAGTGGACCTACGCTCAGCTTAACGCGGAAGCCAACAAGGTTGCGAACTGTTTGCTCGAGCTCGGAGTGGAGCGCGACGAGGCCGTGCCATTGTGCATGGAGAAGTCGCCTCAGCTCTACATCTGCATTCTAGGTATTCTCAAGGCAGGTGCTGCATTCACGCCGTTGGACACATCCGCGCCGATAGATCGGAAAGTGTTTATGATCACGGAGCTGGAAGCGCGGTTCTCGATCACAATGTCGGACAAGGAATCTAGCTTGTTGAGGACCAACCTACCGAACCTTAACGTCATCCAATTGCCGCATGCGGCTATCACTCAGCAGAGCACCGAGAACCCCTCAGTGCCAGACTTGAAACCATCAAACCTTGCGTACATCCTCTATACCTCAGGTAGTACTGGAAGACCCAAGGCAGTCGCCGTTGAGATCCGCAATGCTGTCCAAGCGGTCCTTGCATCGAGGAACTTCTTTTGGTGGAACCACACTTCCAAGTTCTTGCAGTTTGCGGCCCCTACCTTCGATATGTCCATCTACGACTGCATGATCTCTTGGAATTTCGGCATTCGGTTGTGTTCTGCGACACGCAAGTTGCTCTTGAGTGATTTGCACGGAGTCATTCAGCGCATGAATGTTACCCACTTGGATCTTACTCCTACAATCGCATCCAGCCTTATCCGCTCTGAGGTGCCGACGGTGGAGATGCTCTTCTGTATTGGAGAAGCGCTGCCTCAGGATCTCGTCGAGCAGTGGTCTCCGATTTGTATCAACGCCTACGGACCAACCGAGTGTGCCATGGCTTGTACGCATCAGATCAGCATGCCCCACATGAAGTCCAACAACATTGGAAAGCCATTCGAGAGTACCAGTCTCTACATCCTCACGAAGGATGCGCAGCATATCGTACCCGTCCATGGAGTTGGCGAACTCTGCATTGGCGGCTTTCAGGTTGCTCGCGGCTATCACGCGAACCCAGTGATGACTGAGGATCGTTTCATCACCAGGAAAGGCGTGGAAGGCAGGCTGTATCGTACTGGAGATCTTGTTAGAGTTCTTGCGAACGGCGAATTCGAATTCTTAGGTCGTGCGGATGACCAGGTCAAGATTCGGTACGTTGATACATAACTTCTTCTACTGCTGAATATAGCTAACTCTTAGGTAGTGGTCTCCGAGTGGAGCTCGGCGAAATCAACGCCGTCGCAAGGGATGCCGATTCGTCTATTGTGGATGCTATCACATTGGTTTTGAAGCATCCCAAGATGTTGCAGGATCAGCTTGTGACTTTCCTCGCCTTGCAACCGCGAGACGACACTATTCATGATTGTGCAGTTGTTACGGATATCGCGTTGCGCCTTCAGCTGACTGAAAAGTGCCTGACTGAAGCAAAGCGGAGATTGCCTGCCTATATGATTCCTGGTATTGTCCTGCTTGTGGACAGAATACCTCTCAGCGCTGCCGGTAAGGTCAATCGCCGTCTTCTCACATCTGTTTTCACGGACATGGAGATGGCAGACTTCCAGACCGAAACCAAAGACGAAGACGAAGTCTGGGGAAGACTCGACGTTGTCATTCGAGAGGCGCTGGCGCAAATCGCTTTGGTACCTCTTCAAGATGTTCGTAAGTCTTCAACTATCTTCCAACTCGGACTCGACAGTATCAGTGCCGTGCAAGTAGCTGCCAGACTATCGAGGCAGCTCCATCGTGAAGTCAGTGTTTTGGATGTTCTTCAGAACACCTCTATCCGTGAGCTCAGTGCTTTCTTACAGAACGCCTCTGCCTCCTCAGAGGCCACCGTCGATGACACCGAAGGCTTCAATGCCGGCATCTCAGCTTTCCGCGGCCAAGTGGAGAGCGACCTGGATGCCATTCCTCGGGGACTGCAAGCCATTCTACCCTGCACGCCTTTGCAAGAAGGCATGTTGGCACAATTCATCCGCTCTAACGGAAAAGAATACTTCAATTCAGTCCTTTTCGAGCTTGAAGCTAATATCGATATCGGCCGCCTGCGTTCAGCTTGGAATTCTTGCTTCGAAAATTTCGATATTTTACGCACCGGTTTCTGTGCCATCAACGGAACCAGACATTCGTACGCCCAACTTGTCTATGAAAGAGCAGCTTTGGAGCTCCCATGGAGCAAACACGATACGGATGAATTGAACCGCCTTGATGCGTTCGTAGAACAGAGGAGGTCAGACTTGGCCCAGAAGGCCATTGACGCACTTGAAGTTCCGCCCATCAACTTGGACCTTATCAGCGGTTCAGATAAGTCTACGTATCTCCTGTTTTCGGCTCACCACGCCCTGTTCGATGCCTGGTCTCTGGGATTGTTATTGGAAACGGTTTACGCACATTATCACGGATTTGCTACACCGGAACGTTCCAAATCGGCATCCGTTCTCCGGAGCATTCTGTCTGGAGAGTACGATGAAGCTTGGTCCGCTACGGCAAAGACCTTCTGGAAATCCAAGCTGGAAGGGATTTCTCCCAGTATCTTCCCCAACCTTACCAGCAAGCGTCTTACTACCACCGGATCCTTTAGATGCATCAAAACTTCCAAAGTGTCGTTTGCGAAAATGGAAGCTGCGTGCAAATCGCTCAATGTGCAGGTGCAAACACTTGGTCAAGCAGCTTGGGCCAAGCTTCTATCGGCTTACTCTGGCGAGACCCATGTTATCTTTGGTCAAGTACTCAGCGGAAGAGCTATGATCAAAGGCGGCGAAAACGCCGTCTTTCCTTGTCTCACCACAGTGCCTTGCGCATTCGGTCTAAACGGAAGCAATAAGGATTTCGTCCAATTAGTACAACAGTACAACTCGGACTCATTGCGATACCAACACACATCGCTCACGGCCATCAGTCAATGGCTCGGCTTCACTGAGGGTGAAACACTTTTCGACACAATCTTCTTGTATCAGAAAGCCCCCGCAGGGAGTGTCAATGTAGGGGAAAATGAATTGTGGAGAGAACGCGAGCACATGTCTTCTGTCGACGTAAGTAAGGGCGCAATAGCTTGAAGTATTCGCTAACATGTCCTGTAGTATGCCGTTTCGCTTGAGATGGAGCCCATGGTGGACGGATCTGTTAGTCTTGTCGTTCATGCTAAAGACAGCTTGATGTCTGCCCAGCAAGGAGAACTCCTTCTTGAACAATTTGACGCTCTTCTTGAGGGCATAATTGACCATCCAGAGGCACAGGCGGATGAGATGACAGTGGCGGACGATAACTTGTTGTCTATCTCACCTCCTCAGCATGAGATCCTTGACGCGCCGGTTCAATACCTTCATCACTTTGTGGAGATGCATGCAAAGTCGATGCCAGGAAAAGTCGCCTTTGAATTTGCTACTGGGATCAATGGATCCGAACCCATCAGCCTGAAATGGACGTACGCAGAGCTCAATGAGGAAGGAAACCGCATTGCGCATTATCTGCGCTCTACCGGCGTCAAACCGAACACCACTGTTCCAGTTTGCTTCGACAAAAGCCCGATCGCCTTTTTCTCCATTCTCGGTGTACTCAAAGCGGGCTGCTCCTTCCTTGCTTTGGATCCTGGAGCTCCTATGGACCGCAGGGCGTTCATTGTCAAGGACATCTCCGCAATTGCTGTCCTGACCATCGAGCGTTATGCTGATGCATTCCGGTCAAACACCGAGAATGTGAACATCATCGCGGTGGACGTCAATACCAAAATTTCTCTTCAACCTAGCGATAACCTCGATATCCCTGAGCTTGCGCCAGAGTCTCTAGCGTACATTCTGTATACGTCCGGAAGTACTGGTACGCCCAAGGGTTGTGAGATTTCTCATGACAACGCCGTACAAGCCATGCAAGCGTTCTCTATACAGTTTGCAGGGCACTGGGATTCGGAGTCTAAATTCCTGTGCTTCGCATCACTACACTTCGACGTCAGTATCTTGGAGCAATATTGGACCTGGAGTGTCGGTATTGCCATGGTGGCAGCGGATCGAGATCTTCTGTTCCAAGATCTGCCTCTTGCGTTGCGTGCGTTGCGCATTACGCATCTTGATTTGACTCCCAGTCTTGCCGTAACTTTGCAGCCGGCGGATGTGCCGTTACTTCGGGTGTTTATTACTGGCGGTGAACTCCTTCGCCGTGAGGTCTTGGACTCGTGGGGCAAAACAGGAAAGATCTTCAATGCTTACGGCCCAACAGAAGTCACCATTGGCTGCACGATGCTGTGTTCTGTTCCCGAAGATGCTCGCCCTTCAAACATCGGCAAGCAGTTCGTCAACTGCGGATCCTTTGTCGTGAAGGCTGGCAAGGGCTTCACACCTGTCTTGCGGGGTGCTGTTGGTGAACTTTGCATGTCCGGAAAACTTGTTGGCAGAGGATATGTCAAGAGACCCGAACTCACTGCGGAGCGCTTCCTCGAGGTTCCTGAGCACAACGTGAGGGTCTACAGGACGGGTGATCTTGTTCGACTGCTTGACGACGGATCATTTGATTTCATTGGCCGAGCAGACGAGCAAGTGAAGTTGCGCGGTCAGCGCCTCGAGCTGGGTGAGATCAATGCTACACTCAAGCAGGCAGGGAATGAAGCCGCTGTTGTTGATGCAGCGACGTTGGTTCTGAGGCACCCAAGCCAACAGAAGGATCAGCTTGTCTCCTTCATCGTCCCCGCCTCCACAGCGACAGCCGTTGCCGCCTCACCGGAATTGATCGAGCGCTTCGACCTGGCTCCACTACTGCGTCAAGCGTGCAAGCGTCGACTCCCCCGGTATATGATCCCAACGCATATTCTTCCGGTCTCTAAATTACCCCTTTCCCGAACCAATAAGATTGATGGCAAATTCCTTGCTGCGCTGTTCCACCAGTGCTCGTTGGATCTCCTCCAGCAATATTCAGGAGCGACGAATGAAGATCGTGTCAAGGCATGGACGGAAACCGGACGTCGCATCCAGCAATTACTCGCGCGCATCACCAAAGTTCCTTTGGATGCAATTCACCCGTCGACTTCTATCTTTGAACTTGGGTTGGACTCAATCTCAGCAGTCAATTTTGCGAAGACGCTGAAAAAGGAAGACATTGGCACCGTGAGTGTTTCTCAGATTATGCAGAATCCATGCATCATGGACATGGCCGATCTCTTAGAAACACCATCCCATGATGACAGCGTCGATATCTTGTCTACGGCGAAGGCGTCAATCCAGTCGTTTTCGATGCGTTTCAGACCGGTCGTACTGCAGCAACTTAAGTGCCGCGATGCAGACGTTGAGAGCATCTACCCGTGCACACCGTTGCAAGAAGGTATCATCGCCGAAGCTCGTCAATCGGACAATGGACTTTACTTCAATCATTTCATTCTTCGCTTGGAAGGTCTGGTGGACACGAACAAGTTGCACAAAGCCCTCGAGGTGTTAATACAATCCAATGCCATGCTACGTACATGCTTCTGCGACACGGAGGAAGGATTCGCCCAAGTTTGTCTCAGGTGGCAGAACTCAAACGTTAAGCTGTGGAAAGAGGTCATATTGAAGGATGAGAGCGTGAACGAAGTCGCGGAAGGACTTGCTAAGCAGTTCGCTCGCGACAATAAGTCTCTTGAACGTCCTGCCTTTGGTATTTACCTCGTAGGCAAGGATGGTCAGAAGTGCCTATGCCTTGTGCTCTTTCATGCTTTGTATGACGGTTGGAGTTTACCGTTGTTACTTGACGACCTGCAGCGTCTCTACCATGGCATCCAACTCCCTCAGCGCCCGCCTTTTGAGGGCGTGGTCCCACACATCTTGGCAGCAGACGAAGCCAAGGCCAAGGACCACTGGAGAAAGGCATTGAATGGCATGAGATGCATGTCGTTCCCTGTTCAACACTCCGACTCTAGCGATACAGACGCCGGTCGGTCTGACTTCGCTGTTGAAGTGATCTCGGACTGTTCAGTTCAAGATGTTGAAATTGCTGCAAAATCAAAACTTTCCAGCACCCCTCAAGCCTTACTACAGGCCGCTTGTTCTCTGCTTCTTACAGGATATCTAGGCAAAGACGTCAGCTATGGCGTTGTGGTGTCTGGTCGCAATATCATGGTCGAGGGCATTGAGAATGTCGTCGGACCAGTTTTCAACACCATTCCGTTTGCCATGCACATTTCGGAGGACGCGTCAGCGAAAGAAATTGTTAAATACGTTCAGACGGCATCTGCTGCTGCAAGCCCTTTCCACCACACACCACTAAGATTGATTCGAAAGTGGCTCGGAGTGCCTCGTGAATTTCCTCTTTTTGACTTCCTCTTTGTGTATCAAAAGACTCCGAAGAACGAAGAGGACAATGGTGCGCAGCTTTGGGATATCATCGAAACCGATGCAGCCCAAGATTTCTCGGCATCTCTCGAGATCGAACAGACAGCCCAAGGCACGTTCGTTCTACGCTTGGCCGGAAAGGGCTCTGTCCTGAGCCCGGATATCGGCCGTACCATGTTGCAGACCTATGATGCCATCCTGTCGGCAATCATCTCTGCTCCGAATTCTGTGCCTGCCACATCCTTTGCCGAATTGAAAGAAGAACATCCAATCTTCAGTCCTCGCTTGCAAGATATCAAAACAACGAGCGACAAGAAGAGCACTTCCGCATTGAATCAGTCTGAGGAAGCTCAGAGTATTCGTCATTGTATCGCCGAAGCCGCAGGCCTCGACGTTAAACAAGTGGATGACACAACCTCGATTTTCCACCTTGGCTTGGATAGTATCGAAGCTATCAGATTGTCTGCAAAACTGAGATTGCAAAACATCTTGCTGTCAGTCAGTGAGCTCATGAAGTACTCCACTGTTCAAGATATGCTACGTCTCCTTAACGAGAAGCAGACCACTGAACTAGGAAGCCCAAAGAGTCAAGGTCTATCGAAGTCTGCATTCGATGCTTTGTGCAACAAGCTGCGCCAACAACTTGCAAAGGAGGGCGTTCTGCCAGCGGATGTCAGAGACGTGTACCCTTGCACACCTCTGCAAGAGGGTATGATCGCCGAGTCGTCCGGACGGACAACATACCTCAACCACGCTGTTCTTGAATTGGATGACGGAGTTGATGCAGAGAAGCTCAAACAGGCGTGGAAGAATGTCCTTATCAAGGAGGCTATCTTCAGCACTAGTTTCCGTCCGATGAATGTAGACGGGGTCTCATATGCTCAAGTCGTACACGAAACTGCGAATACCTGGAGCGAGCACACTGTGCAGAGCCTGGCTGATCTGCCGGAATATTGCAACAAGCACTTGGAACGCACCAGAGAAGTCCTCAATCCTCTCGAGCGTCCTCCGGTGTCTGTCGCGCTTTTGAACGCGCCGGACAAGCAGTGGATCGTCCTTTGTCTTCACCATGCGCTCTATGACGGATGGAGTTTGTCATTGCTCTTTGAAACAGTTTTGCGCCAGTATCATGAAGCCGATGAGGGAAGCAACGGGCCCTCGTTCAAGGATGTCGTTAATCAGATTGTTTCAGCGGACCAAAGCAAAGCCGAGCAATACTGGTCTCGTGTGTTGGATGACTGTACTATTGTGAGCTTCCCCGACCTTTCGAGATCGACAGCGGCGGAAAACCCCGTCGGTTCACACTGGTGCGAGGTGAACTCAGCCATGACCGCCTCCAACGTGGAGGAGGCATGCAAATACCATGGGATCACTTTGCAGACCATTGGCCAAGCAGCCTGGGCCGTCATTCTTTCCCTTTACACTGGCGAGAGCGACGTTTTATTTGGAGCGGTTCTTTCTGGCCGAAACGTCATGGAAGGTGCTGAGGGGGTTATGGGCCCTACGATGAACACTGTACCTGTCCGTGTGGATGTACGAGACTGTTCTAACCTTGAGCTCTTGCGAAAGGTTCATGATTCAAGTGTTGCAACGTTTGACTATCAGCATACGCCTCTAAGGGACGTGCAACGTCTTGCACGAACCAATGGACGTCGTCTTTTCGACACTATTTTCTTGTACCAGAAATCGGCATCTCAAGGGTATACCACGCACACCCAACCCTTGTGGACATCGGTGGACGAGGAGTCGTCAACGGAGTATTCGGTCGCCGTTGAAATGGAAACCAAGGAAGGTTGTATCATTTGGCGGGCTACCAGTAAGAATGCTCTGATGACTCCAGATCAAACCCGTTTGATGTTGCTTCAGCTGGACGCAGTTGTCAAGAACCTTGTCAACAAAAACGCTTGCAACGCTGCGGTTATTGGTCGTGGTGAGAGTACGATCTTGGCAATCGACAACGCATCCCCCGCGCCTCTCGCAACCGGCGGAATCTCTCTTTTGCATGAGTTTTTCGAGAAGAATGCTGCGCAAAAACCCGAGCATCCTGCTTTAGAATTCTACACCTGGCTCGGTCACGAAGTGCATACAACTGCTTTCACGTACGAGAAGCTCAATGCACTTGCAAACCAAGTTGCCCGCCTTCTTGTCAACAAGGGTGTACAGCCAGGAGATGTGGTCCCCATTTCTATCCATAAGGACCCATTCTTGTACATAGGGATGCTTGGTATTCTGAAGGCTGGAGGGGCTTTGCTTTTCGTGGACCCCGATATGCCTCAAGATAGGAAATCTCACATGGTTTCTGAAGTCGGGGCAAAGGTATTGTTAGTCACTAGCGAGACTGCAAATCAAGCCTTGTCTACCGTTGAGTTGATTGAGCTGGACACACAGCAAGAACAGGTGTCTCAGCTCGATACGTCGAACTTGAACCTAGCTATCGAGGCGCAGAGAATTGCGTATATGATTTACACTTCCGGCACTACCGGGACGCCTAAAGGTGTTACAATCACTCACACCAATGCAGTGCAGGCCATTCTTGCTTTCCACGAGCTGATTCCGTCGAAGTCAGATTCTCGATTCTTGCAATTCGCCAGTGCTGCTTTCGATGTCATCCACTTTGAATGCCACTACAGCTGGTCGCTTGGGATTACTTTGTGCTCAGCATCAAAGAATGACATTCTCAGTGATCTTGAGCGTGCTCTCAACACTATGAGGATCACTCACGTTGATCTGACTCCATCTGTCTCGGCTTTGGTGAAAAGAGAAAACGTACCAACAGTCGAGGTACTCGTCAGCGGAGGTGAAGCGCTTACACAGAAGGTTTTGGAGGAGTGGACTGACGGTGGTTGTCTGTACAACGCATACGGGCCTTCCGAGGTTAGTTACTTTTCAAAACGATGATCTTATCTTGCTAATATCTCGTATAGGTAACTATTGGCTGCACCATGCTAACTCAAGTCCCAAGGGACGCGAAGCCCATGAACATTGGTAAAGTTTGGCCAAACACATCTGCGTATGTCCTTTCCAGCCACCTTGAAGTATTGCCTCGCGGTGCGATCGGTGAACTCTGCGTTGGTAGTGTCCAAGTGGTAAGTGTTTTAATTCTCGTCCCTTCTACACGATGTTTGATATTGACCTTTCTTAGGCACCCGGCTATTTCAAACGTCCAGACCTCACCAAGGAGAGGTTCATCAACCTCTTTGGCGAGCGCCTTTACCGTACCGGTGACCAAGTCCGCATGCTTGCCGACGGTTCCATCGAGTTCTGCGGCAGGAATGATGATCAGGTCAAGTTGAACGGTATCCGCATTGAACTCGGCGAGATCGCGACGGTCATGGCCAAGTCACACGAAGATATCAACGACGTGGTTTGCCTGGTACTCAGACATCGCAAGAGCACGCGTGACCAACTCGTTGCCTTTGTCTCTTGCACGTCGCAAGCAGTATCCCCTGATGAAGCCGAAGTCCTTGACATCAAGACGTCGGCCGTGAGCGACGTTGTGGAGACGGCGTTAAAGGCGGCTCGACGGAAATTACCTACCTGGATGATTCCTAGCCATGTTGTTGCTCTTAGCAAGTTCCCTCGCGGTAGGACGAACAAGACTGATCGCAAGGCCCTTGCCGAGATCTTCTCCTCTATGGATTTGTCTGCAATTGATGAGGAGAACGTGGTCGAGGATTGGCAGAGCCAGGAGCTCATCCTCAGGGATGTCCTCGCTGAGATCTCCACGATTCCTGTAGCGTCCATTCGTCGCACTTCGACTATCTTCACGCTGGGTTTGGACTCTATCAGTGCCATTCGCATCTCCGGTTTACTTCGTCAGCGATCCATCAACTTGACTGTTGCCGAGATTCTGCAGAATCCTAGCATCGAGCGTATCTCCGAGCACCTTGCTAGTCGCCGAGCCGAGCAACCGGCCGGTGAAGCCACTGACTTGATAACCCGCCTCACTGCCAAGCTGGGCAATGACTACATTAACCTCTTGAGCGCCAAGATTGGATTGTCCAAGGATAACGTCGAGAATGTTGCACCATGCACGCCTTCTCAGACCTACACTCTGTCCGCCTGGCAAAACTCCAACCAGAAACTCTTCATGCCATCTTTCCCTTACATCACTAAGGAGAAGTTGGACGGAGCGCGCTTGCGCAAGGCTTTCGAGGATCTTGTTAAGAGGCACGATGTTTTGAGGACCGTCTTTGCCAGCACGAGCGACGCTGATTTCCCTCTGCTTCATTTCGTGCTTGAGTCCTATCTACCCGAGTTCGTGGAAGAGGAGGTTGGTGATGTCGAGGATGTTGCTGGTGCTGTGTACGACCTCGTCGTGAAGGAGTCCGCTGTCGCTGCCGATTTGAGGACGCCTCCGATCAGGATGCGCTGCGTTCAGTTCAATGACAAGACGGCTATCATCTTGACGATTCACCACGCGTTATATGATGGTTGGAGTTTGCCGGCGCTTGTTAAGGAGCTCGCTGACCTCTACTCCGGTTCCGTTGTCGCTGCACCTTCGGTTGACTTTGCGAAGTTCACCAAATCCGTCTATGCCGTATCCGAGACTTCACTGGAGAAGTACTGGTCGAAAGCCTTGTCCGCCTACAAGCCTACCCACGCCCCGGTCTTACACGCCAGCACCTCCGCCTCCCGCACCAGCGTCTACAAGCCCCGTGCAATCCTCAACGCCAAGGCACTCCAAGACGCATACCGTCAGAAGGGCCTAACCCTCCAATCAGTCTTCCTCGCCGCCTTCGGCCGCATCCTCGCTCAACGCACTCAAAGTAATACTGCAACCTTCGGTATGTACGTCTCCGGGCGTACCCCCGAATTCGCATCTTTGATGGGACCTACTGTCAACATCATCCCTCTCTGTGTTCAGAAGAATGAGGATCTGGTGAAGAGTGCAGAGGAGGTCCAGATGGAGTTGGCGCGTGGATCAGAGAAACAGCAAGTTAGTCTTGCGCAGATTGCGAAGTGGATTGGCAGGGAGGGCGAGGCATTGGTTAATGCTTACGTCAACTACCTTCGTTTCGACGACGATATCTCTACTTCTTCTGATGAGAATTTGTTCAGTGAGGTGGAGATCGGCAATAGAATGTCTTCCGTTATGCGCGACATCGAGACGAACGCCAAGGCGAAGGGCGAGGTCCGTACGTTGATTGATAGCAACCCTGTCAAGTCTACGGTCAAGGTCGACTTGGACGTGGAGATTGCGGTTCGTGGAGATGGTGTCGATGTCGGTATCTTTTGTGGTGGGGAGGTTATGAATGAGGAGGAAGTCAATATCATGCTCGGTGAGCTTTGTGGTGAGGTTGAGAAGGCTTTGAAGAAGTAGAACATAGAAGTGAAGAAGCGGTACATGGGGACGTACGTCCGTCAAAAAAGTTTAGTTTAGTTTAGATATCATTTTGAAATTTAGTATTTGCTCTTGTCTTTATCACACATAGCATTGGGATTAACACAAGTACAACATCATCAATGAAGTGAAGCTTCTATTCGTAACCTCTATGTTATACGGCAACATCCCTACAATCCAACCAGAACCCCGACAACAACCCCCACAACCCCCAAAGACATCGTCCCAGCCAATCCCAATTCTCTCCCACTCCTCCCTCTCCCACCAACCTCCCCCCAACTCGTACTCGTCGAACTTCCGTTCCTAGTCCCAACCAACGTACTCATCGTCTGCTTATCGTCCAATTAGTATCACTATTACTAAGAGCGAAAGATACTCCCGAGCACACTCTCGACAGCCCCCAAAACTTGACTCACCGTAACAACAGCCGCCGCAACACTACTAATCGTACTCTCTCCCGCCTCTGTCGCGATCTGGTTCCACCAACTCAGGGCGCCAGAGGCTGTGTTTTCGCTTTGTGCCTCTCCACCGAGGAGACCGTTGGTAGGAGCGGTGTAGTTGACGCCGTTGAGCTCTGCGACCCAGGAGAATACTGAACCGTTTGTCGGGATGGAGTAGTAGTCGAGCAAGACGAAGTTTGGAGGGCGAGAGTAAAGCGCATAACATCCCTCGTAGTTCGCCTGCAACGAAGCGTACCCGTTTGTTGTATCGAGTGCCGCTGTATCGGGAATCAACACCGAAGAGATAATCTCCGTATCCAAATAATGATTAACCAGATAAAGCTTCCCGTCACTTGTCCCGCCACTCGGGCGATCAAGGTCACACGGGAAAGTGGCATCCGTCGAATCATATGCCGTCTCAAACACGAAGTCCCACTCGGGCAGGATGTAGTCAACGATCGAAGCATCCGCGTTTGAGTCCATGAAGGTGATGACGCGAGTATTGTTCCCGATGAGGGAGGAGAGTGTAGGGAGGTCGGAAAGGGTTGTTAGGGAGGTGGGAGGGGAGTAGGTGTATGCGGAGAGGTTTGTTGATTCGTAGACTGTTGCGTAGAGGGAGGGGGAGAGGTTGTCGGAGTTGACCCAGAGGATTGTGATCACTTCGTCTGGGTTTGCTTCGAGCCAGGCAACGACTTCGGTGAGGTACTCCTCAATCGTACCACCATCGAGGAGATCACAACTTGTATGACAAAGACTGATCCCGACACCATCACTACCCGTCTCATTGTTCTGATGGGCCTGGTTCTGAAGAAGACGGATTCCGTCGTTGAGTTGCGTGGTAACGTTTACCAACTGATTCGAAGCGACAGAGTTGGGTACTGCAGCGTATGAGTTGTGAGCACCAAGGTATGTGATATTGGAGTACGAGCGAGAGCAGAGGGATGCATGGCCATTGCAGAGCTGCTGAGCCGTAACCACTGAGGCAAGAGCAAGCGCAGCAATCGTCTGGACGAATGAATGCATGTTTGTAAGGAATGTATGCTGCTTGTATGTTCCTAGTTATAACAGAAGTGAGAGAAAGACAGATCAATATACGTTTGCGTCACCAGAACCAGCAGGTAACGCCTTCAAGGGGAATGTATGCTCGATGAATGCTCGTTAACGGACCGCAACCGTCTTGTGTAGATGAGGGGAGAGAAGAGAACATTTGTAGGTCGGCGATTTTATTGCGGTGTTCTTGGCGGGATTACGAGCCGCGTGTCTTGGCTGTGGAGGCGGAGCGCGGCAGCGACGGCAAGGGTCGGTGCTATTTATAGAACAGGGTTGGAATGAGTGTGATTCCTTTTTACTTATTATGTCAAGCTTCGAGCATGTAAATGACCTTCATTGAGATGGACTAGGATGTGGATGGCAAAGTTCACAGGAGGGTCGTTCGAAAGTCGCGAGGCGCTCGGAGGATCGAAGGTGTCATCCTTCGCTTAGCTTTGCCCAAGGACATTCCGGCGTTCAAAAGTGCATGCTCCAGAATACAGAAAGTCCTACACAACCTCGAGGATGACTCCTTCAGAAGAGATGTGCAGGCAACTGGACCGGATCAGTACGCGTCCAGCTCAGAGATCGAGGAAGCCAAATCAGCCCCCGGCAGGCGAAGGGCGTAACACCATCGGATGCAATATAGTCAAAGACGGAGAACAAAAAGAAACAACGTGCATGACGGAGCAGCCGTCTGTGAGTTCGTGCCTCTTCCAGAAATCTGTTTGATCAGCCATAGGCGTGGCAAGGACCTGGACCAGGTGCCAGACGTTCTCGGCATCCTTCCCTCCCCATTTCGCGACATGCTTAAGCAGTTCTGTTCAACAACCCCCTCCTCACAATCTCCAGTATCGTAAACCCAACAATCCTGCATCTGCAGCAGTTGGAACATGTATCGGAACAACTCACGCCAAAAGCGGGCGAACGGCAAAACAACCCATTAACCTGCAGCGGTAGCAAAAAACGCCAGGAACGCTCTGTGACAGAGGATAAACAACGACGACGACCTCGAGAAGTTGTGGTGAAGATGGAGAAGAGGGTGGCCTTAGGGAAAGTCGTGTCTTTGCCTAGCGAGCCTCCTTGTTCGATGTCTTTACCTATAGTCTTCGAGAGTAGTTGATGAGCGTGTACAGTTGTCGTTGGGGCGTACGTCGTAACGATCACCAGCTGAAGTCGACTCGGGTAGCAGATCTTCTTTAGAGTTGCATGTGCAAAACAGATCCCATCTGAGTTGAGCAAGTACCGAAGAGATGACTCGTGTTGGCGATGCCCGACATCGCGCAGTCGCCGCGAACTCTCGACGACTCCAGCTCAACACGGTTGTATCCGCTGCCAAACATCATGACTAGTGGTCTTTTTCAGGCTTCCAGGAAATCTGGGTATCTTGGCCTGACCTAGAAGTGCTGGCTTCCACGTCCTGAACTGTTCGCATCAGCTGCAGATCATCCGCAGATCGCCTCACTCCTCCTCTGAACAGGCACTATGTCCAAATGATCTGAATGCTTCGCATTCTTCTTCGCGTATCGTCGTGCTCTGGGTGTTGGCTGCAGCTGGGCCACATGTCACGGCCGCGGTTCGATCATACGAGGAGGCCCGAGCGTCGTTATACACCCAAGCCTTTGAGATACCCGGACCTTCCTCTCGCGCGCTGCCTTCACCGGTACGATCATCATGTTAGATGCCACCAATGCTGATCTACAATTGTTTACAAGGTCTGCGCAACTTCCAGTCGTCTCCTTCGTCGATCAGCCTACCCAATCTGTACCGCAGACGGAAGGGCAGCGTCGGCGGCGGCCGCAACCGGGAAGCATTTGAGGTTCCGTAATCTCGTTTCTTGTCAGGCAAATTTGATCCCAGACCTAGATTTTTCTGCCGCGTGTTTGCGTACGGGTGTTGGTCAGCTGCTGAGCGTGCTCCGTTTTGAAATGCTTTAAACGGCCCAGCGCTCCGCCCATATACAGACAGCATCCCGTCAGCGTAACCCTAACCGACGTTATCAGAAACAAAGTTCCAATTTTTCAAGGTTTTCTTCGAGAACCAAACGAAACGGAGGATGGCCGAAAGTATCATTTTAATCCAAAGGCACATCTCTGGATCTATCCCGGCGCACAACACAACCCCGAAGGATTCGCAAGCGTCATCGCCTGCGACTTCAGCAGGTCTTCAGCAATACTCGTCGGCAAACAACAATGCCAGGCCAGTCTCGAACACTCCCGCACAGTCTAGGCCTTCGTCTAGATCCACGCCGAGGACTCCAGGAACAACGCAGCCAGGGTCTACCAATAACATCCCAACCCTCCTTTGGGACAGGCTGGAGGCATTCCGTGGGGACCCGACGTTTCGACGGGGCGAACATCAGCGTGGTGCTTCTGCTCCTACTGCTGGTACAGCAGCCTCTGCTTCCGCTCAAGGGTTCGGGCCCGGTAGCCGTTCTAGGACTGGTGCCGGTCGTGGTGCTGCTCCTCCCGCTGGTGTCGCAGCCGCTCCTGAACCATCACTTGGCCAGTCTGCTGCTGCTACGGCTGAGCTGCACAGCGGAAGTACCACGCCCACGCCTGTGAATCCTCCATTGAACCGCAGGCCACGCGGTAATGCAGTGAAAGCCAACCACAAAGCGATACCCGCCCTAAGGAAAGTCCTACCTTTCAACGGGCGAATCCAGAATGTTGGTTTGCCGGAGGCCACTTTTGAGAAGTTGATTTTACGCGACGAGACGTTTCTGCGAATGCTCGACAGAACTACGATGGATGATAAAAGGTCGCAGATCTTGCAAGAGTTTTTGAGAGTTCGATATTCTCAAAGCAGGACGGCCGAGCTGAGTGTCCAAAGGGACCGTGACATGATTGCCTATCACGAGAACCTTTTGGCGGCCAGAGTGGACGGTCTTCCTATCATCTTCGACGGATTGGGGCTTGAATCTATGGACTGGCAGACCGAGCCATTGGATACGGAGGAGGGGGAACGAGTTAGAGGCGAGAAAGGTGTTGAGTCGGATGGACGGCGACGCCATGCTGCGCCTGATGATCCCACCGACAGACCTGATCAGCCCGTCAACGACGAGCAGATGGTACTATATGAGGGGGGTCGGACCGAGACGGATTTGGAAGGAGGAGCTGGCACAGGTACGCCTGGGTTGACTTCACCTCCTACGAATATCGGCGAGCCACGCTCATAGGTCGCGGGGGATACGTTCATCCTATATCTTCTGTCCAATCGAAGTGGCAAGAAATCCGTCTGTATGTGATCTGGCTATTGAATATATAATTAATTGATTATTTTTACGTCGATTTTGTTCATGTATTGAGGATCTTTGATCCGTTCGGTATCTGTCTGGTCTGTCTTTTGTGTGTCGCCGCTGGCAGTACTAATCTACCTACTAATGATCACATCGCTGTATTGATGATCATGACTGCTGACGAAAGTGTCCATATTCATTGAACTTGAAGAATTGGTCATCCTATGCCGTTCTCTCAGCATCAAAAACGGAATCGAAGCAGGGACCGGGAGCGTCCTAAGCAGGACTTGACCGGTCTACCTGAAACTTGACCGGTTTAGGGTGACTTTGGTATTGTCCGAGTAACTTTGGATGGAGCTGAAGGAATGTTCTTCTTAGTACGTCGGAGGTATCCCTTTGGGTTGGAGGCCTATCCGGGTGGTTACATGAATTCCGAATTACAAGCCCTCAACGCCCTCACGCTCCACGCACGCCGCGCACACGGGTAATACGACATCGCTTGAGCACAGTGAAACAGAGCTCGTAGGGATTCCAACTAAAACAACAAAAAAGCTATATTTGATATTGAAGAACGTAAGCTAAGAATAGCAATTTCACATCTCGTACGCCCTAATGAGAACATCCTCAACATTCATGCAACGATCCCTGCATGATATCGTACACTCCCGTCTGTTTTTGACATTTGACAACGTACTCGAAGGTTAACAGCTCCAAAAAAACTCGAACCCCACCAACCATTTTTTTCCGATTGCGGGATTTTCGCTGGTAATCATATATCTCAACATGAAACAAACACTCCATTCCACCACGCACGCTTTGCCTTATTACGCATGCTGCGATTAGGACCTGTCGTCCGACGCGGGGGGCGTGTTTTGACGTCCGCGAGCGGGAACGTCTTGAGCGGGAACGTCTTGAGCGGCAACGGTGACGCGATTCAAGCGGGCGACCAACTGGGTCCCAATCATGTCCTCATCTTCCCTGTCCTGCCCTTCCCACTGCATATCTTCAACATCCGATGTCGCGACCGGCAGCAAGAAGCCCTCCCTGGCGGCCTTCAGGTAATTGTTTGCTCTTTGACCTCGTTGCCCGCAACCTCCTCGAAAAACCTCAGGGCTTGCTGCATGGTCTTCTGGTGCTCGTGCACGACCTTAGACAACTCAAGCAAGAGCTTAGGAGTAATGGACTTTTGAATCCTTCCACTGTACGGCATGATTTTTCGCAAGGCAACGGACTTGCGAGTATTGTTGCTGGTGTCTGGGCGAAGGCTACGTCCAGTGCGGGGAGAAGGGCGAGCGCGTGGGTCAATGTTCTCATGTGGAATGACATCATCGGCGACGACCCTTGAAGCGTTGTGGTCGATGGGCAGGACAGTGTCGATATCATGTGCAAATGCAGAATAAATTCCAGGACTAGCCGGACCATCCCCCTAGACCGCATCCGGATCGACCGTGGGCGTGGTGGTGAAGATGGGTGGTACTTGGGGGCCAGCGTCACCACAGGAAGATCTAGCAACCGGTCTGTCTTCACCTCCGCGAGTCGTTTTCGCCGGTGCGCCGCTTTCCGGGTCTTCCTTGGGCGAAGGCTCGGGTAACATCGCGTTGCGCCTCAAGGGTGATGAGACCCGGGGGGTTGAAGCTGGGCTAGGAGTGACAATGGAGGCTCGAATTAGGGCAGCAACAAGTGCTGTCATTCGGCTCGAACCAGGATCGATAGGAGTAAATGGACAGGAAGGAGGATCCTGGAAGTTTTGGTGGTTCCAGTATCCCTCCCGTTCCATCTCACTTCGCAACGCATGTAGCCTGATATATACAGCTCTCGTCTGACCTTTAGGGAAAAGGTATTTGAAGTACTCCGCCTGTGCCTCCGGAGGGATACGCTTCAGAAGATCCTGGAATCTCGTGATAATCGTTTCCACGGATAGCGCCTTGGGCAGAGATGCATACAATTCGCGTGCATTCATGTTATCGACGACAACGCTCCAGGCCTTGTATTGTTCGGTATTAATCTTGCACCGCGTCATATTGAGAACCGCCAGACCGAACTTAGCAACTATGTTGCCAACGAAACGAAGAAATTGCAGGGTTTGGGTGTCGTTCCAGTCGTCTTTGCCTTCATGCATCTGGTACACATACCGACTGACTCGACAAAGGAGCAACTTGACCTCGGCGACATCCCCCCCAAATTTCGAATAGCTGGCCGTTCCCCCAGTCCTCACTTCTTCCTGAAGGAAACAGTCGACGAGCTTGTCGCGCCGGTGGATCACTCCTTTCTCCGACGGCAGCTTCACGATCGTGCCATTTGCAATCCCTGCTTGTATGCAGCCTCGCACTTCACGACGAAACGTTTATGGCATTCGCCCCTTTTGAACGTCGTAGCAGAGGGGAAGTCCCTGATCAAGTCGTCGATGGTGTCGAGGAGTAAACGCTCGTAGACGCCGTCCCACGGAAATTGTGTCTGGGGCGGTGTCGTTTGTATCTCGTTGTCGGTCGCGGTCTTAGACACACCAAGTTAGTTGATGTCGGGGAAGTTCACCATGGAATGGAATTCCGAGTGTACGTACCTTGCTGTTGCTCACGCCGCTTAAGCCAGGCGCTGTGGACATGGTTGAAGAAAGAGGATACCTGGCCGGTTGTCTTTCTCACGATATTTCTATTACGGTCTTGTTGTTACGGTCTTGTTGTTACGGTCTTTCGTTACGGTCTTTCGTTACGGTCTTTCGTTACGGTCTTGTTGTTACGGTCTTTCGTTACGGTCTTTCGTTACGGTCTTTCGTTACGGTCTTTCGTTACGGTCTTGTTGTTACGGTCTTTCGTTACGGTCTTTCGTTACGGTCTTGTTGTTACGGTCTTTCACCACGGTAGTTTTATGAAAGCACGCAAAAGCGGGGCAGGCTTAGTGAGCAGCTGACCCGCCCGGAGCCACGTATGCCTGCAAGGCCTGAAGGGCGAAAGTTTACTCAATTAAACCTGAATTAACCAATTCACGGCATCGGGATCTTAATTGACGGCGCAGCGGTTCGTAAGCACCGGGGTGGCAATAGCGCTAGCAGTGCAAGCGTGCGAATCTCATCTGAAGCACAATAAAGCGGCCATATAAACAGGAGACACCAGAAATGAGATGGAGAGAATATCCTGGGTTGAAGGGGAGCGTGACAGTGTTGATGTTGACGACGGCGAGGGTGGAGTTGAGCGTAGGATTGGTGGGGAGGTTGAGGCACAGGAAGGGTTTCAAAGGTCACGGCGACAGCGAGAGGCTTCGTGGAGTTAGAGGACTGCCTTCAGCGCAAATGAAAGCCAGGTTCGAGAAAGAGAACGTCAGAGATCAAATGGTGGACGATTGATCGGTGCTGAAAACGCCGCTGTTGAATGCCTCGTCACATATGACGATAATTTGAGAGCGTGGCTCAGCGGGGGAACGCAGAAATCGAAATAAACAGCAAGTTATCTGACCCATGTTTACCCCCTGTAAGCTTCCATACAAGATCGCCCTTCTAAGGGTCGCAGCTGTTCACTAGGCCTGATATCTGTCCGGACATTCATCGTCGACGTCAGCGGATCATCATCCCTCAACGTCCCCCGACGAAAGAGGTCAACTTATGCGATGAGACAATCGAGCGCAACTTGCACAGTGAACACTTGTTATTCCTTCCGTTTCGCACTGACAGATTCTGTCTTCGTTCGTCCCTTGAGCCATATTCGTGAGATCAACCTTCATGACTCGTAACATCTCCAGGTCAATGGGCACTCTCAGCGACAATTTGTCCACCCGTAAATCGTGATCAATACTATTAGTACTGCACCGGAGCTGATGTGGTCTACTACAATCTGGAGTCATAAACGATCTACATTCGGGTAGATCCGTCGTTGTTTGTCCATGCTTAAAGCACATTCGAGCGAAAACGATCTGTATCTTCAATTCACCTGCAAATGCACTCCCTCCAAAGCATACCCAAGTATCTCCAACCCATATCCCTGTATCCAACGAAGGCGAATCATCAAAAATCGTCAAGAAGTACGTCAATCAATACGGGGTATAACCATCGTAACCATACCCGCGACTACTAGCGCGATACCAATGCCCATGGTCATGGTATCCACGAACAGGACCAGCGTAATAAGACTCGAGCTCACGACTCCTACCACGGTAACCGTGTGGAACCTCGTTGTATCCGCTGCCCGCGTAGCTGTCGTGGCGGTTGTCAACGCTGGTGCTCATACCACGGTACCAAGAGCTCTCACGGACACTGCTCGGGTACTCGGTGGGCTGGCGACTGTAATGACGGAGGCTGTGTGAGTACTCCGAGGGCTGACGGGTGTAGGCACGGTCATCGTGACGGTACGTAGACGCCGATCCCCTGCGCTCAAAGTCACCGTACTTATCCATGAACGACTTTTTTGCATGTTCGTACTCGTGAAGACGGACTTCTTCATCCGTAATTGCTTTTTCCTCTCCCTCCACCGCCTGATATTCATCCCCCTGCTCCTCCTGCTCCTCCTCCTCCTCCTCCTTCATCTCCCTCATCGCCCTTCTCTCAGCTCTGGATCCCTTCCACTCCAACTGCTTCCTCAAATACCTTTGAATAACCTTTTGGCGCATGATGGAGGTTTTCCAACGGTGCCGTCGCCGTGGTACTTAATGATCTGAGGGTCTTTGACTTTGGCTTGACAACCGTGTTTAATATCGGACGGATCCATGAGAGCCAGCTGCCGAATTGACTGACTGGTTAAAAGTCGATGAGGGCTGTCGCGGACAAATCGTTCTCACCCCCCAGTGGCGGTGCGCCAAAACCATGACACAGATAAAGGGAAACGATGTTTGATGAGTTATTGTACAAGACTTGGAAGTTAATGACGCGTATTAAAGACAATTATCATATCCCAAAACATAAAACCCAATGAAGTGACGATGGGCTACCGATGTCGTCTTACTCAGATTGCCAATCCGTGCCCAACACCTTACTTTGCGGCTCCTCATCCTCGTCGCTATACCACTCCACCAACCTGATCTCCTTCTCCGCAGGTCTCGAGACACGACTCACACTTAAAACCAGCACTGAATCAACCAAGAATGTCGAGCAGGACCCACATTCGTCAGGTGTGGTCTTCTTACGAAATTGTCACCACTTGATTACGAACGGACGGAAGCTAACTCTGTTAACAAACGAAGGGTTATTTCGCGCCATTTGTTGACGTATGTGGATGTCGAAATGTGCGATACAGAGATAGAAGGTCGCACCGTTCTACTTCTGGTCCTGGATGGTGTGCCGTCTTTCATGAGGGTGCAGTTTGCTCAATAGTGTCACAAATGGTGTGGACGGGTGCTTTCATGATGGGAAGCTGTTGTTCAAACCCCGAATGATGGGCGTTGTGCGACAGACACATGTGAATTGTCATTTTCTTTCGACTTAAGATACGGTACTAACAGCTTCAACACATCACGAGCCAAGGCTGTGCTCGAGAAGAGGAACATTCTAATCTCTTTCAACCATTCGAACTCCCTCGTTGATTACGGGCAACACCGACAGGCTTTGAGAATCTTCAATCATTTCATGGTTGCTGTAGGACGAGTGCGCACCCACCCGCTGAGCGATGTCAAGACCCCGACCACACCAAAGGCCAGACGCCGAGACCTTAGTGCTCTTTGCTTCCGCCTGCGGGAGTTGAAAGGGATGAAGGTGGAATCACGCAACTGGGGTTTTCGTAGGTCGAAGATCCGCATAAAACGGAAACCGAGGAACATTGCAGTGATCCACGAAGGCTGAGGATTGTTGACATTACCTTGGGTACTGAGATGTTGATGATAGATCCACAATATCGTCAACTCCATCGAAAACTGCGTCGTCGTCGCGTCTGAGCCCACTCAGACGATCACAGCCTCAACCTCCAAGCGTCAACCATTGCAGTGAACTGAGTTCATTGGAAATCAAGGACACAAGGAGCAAGCTCTTGGGCCGGCGAGCAGAGCGCGGTTCATACCCTATTCGGACGACGAAGCGATCAAGTTATGCAACTTACGTACGACGTAGTGAATGGTCGTTTCCACGGGTCAGCGAAGACCAAGACCCGTTGTCGAGCCTAGAAACAGCAGATGCGGGTGCGTTGAAGGATGCAGTCGTGTCAAGAAGCACGGGGAGCTTCAAGCAGGCAATCGATGGAGACGACTTGGTCAACTGAGATCGCTTGACTGTTGCCCGTCCAGATCGCCACTGCGCCACCTACTCCCGTCTCCTCGTCGACCTCCGTCGGTGAACCCGCGAGGAACACACTGTGATGAGGTATTGCGTTCGCGCCTGACTAAACTGATCTCGTAGCTTTCCGATCGTAGCGAGGATCGTTTTGGTTCTGTTGTCGTATCGAGGGGCAATTTCGCTGGCGAGCCGATATGCTGTCCCCACCCCCGCGGCCGCGCCCCTTGACATCGTCGCGACGTCGACGCAGACATTGCTCGGCACCGGCGAAGGTTATGGGCGTGAGTTGGTATTTCCAAGGAAGCATGTTCAAACATCAATTGCGATATAACGTCCACTGCTGCTGCTGCTGCTATTCCTTCCTAGCTACTACCATTGCCATGACTATATTCCATCAACGACCGAAAGAAGAGAACGAGCGGCGCGGCCACCGTCCCAAACAGTAGGCAAATGCAAAATGCACCCCATAATCCTAATCCATGCAAAATGACAATCACAACCCACTCAGCTCCCAACAATCCCACACCCACTAACAACAACCTCCTTCCCCCCCACCCTCTCCCTCTCCCCCTCCGCATCCATGGCCTCAACCCCCGCCTTGATCCCAACCCACCTTTCCCCATCCCTCGCGATTTCCTCTTCAGACACGGGCTCATACACAACCTCGCTCCGATAATATTCCCCCTCGATCCAATCGAGTCTCCAAAGCCGATACCACCCATTTTTGCGGAGTCGTTCGCGGGCGCGGAGTTCGTATTTCCGCAGCGTGGGTAGGAATAGGAGAAATGAAGCAGTCGAATATAGTGCGCCACCAATCAAATCCAACCGCCAGTGATGACGGAGATACATCGTCGCCCACCACTGCCACAACACGAATGCGCCCAATGCGTAGCGTCCACGGCGTGGCGAGTACCGTGCGATAAAGAAGAAATTTATGACCGCGAATCCGGAGTGGAGGGATGGGAATGCCCCGAAGACGAGCGGAGAGGCTTTGAAAGCGTGGGTGTAGATATGTGTTCCGAGGACTGCGTCGACGCGTTTCAGGCCGGCTGCTGAGCCTGGCATGCTGTAATTCGCCGGTATGGGTGGTGTGCCGTAGCCGTATTCGTCTGTCTGGTACCATGGTGCAGCGTTTGGAAACAGTAGATGGGTAGCCACGCCACAAATGTTTTGCATCCCAAAGGACCAGCCGTAGGTTCCTGTGACGCCGGGTGGAGCGAATAACCAGAGCCAGAATGCGGTGAGGAAGGGTGAGACGAAGTGGATTACGCCGTAGGAGATCCATGCCAATACATCCTTCCATTCCGTGAGGGATTGTGCGAGATGGTGTAAGATATCGAGGATGAGTGGGATGAGGGAGGCGAGGAGTGCGTAACGTGTCCGGAGTGCGGCGGAAGCGAGAAGCGTCAATAGAGCTGATTGGGAGAGTAGGCCGAGGGGGGTCTCGTAGAGGACGTGTTCCCAGCGCGGGAGGAGGTCGACGTTGATGAAGGGCCGGATGTCGGAGGGGATGAGGCGGGCTTGTTTGAAGGTTGTCATCCAGATGATGACGGGGATGAGGTTGATGAAGATTAGTATTGCGAGTTGGGTGGGTGATTTTTCGTTGAGGAGGGTGTGGAGGATGTGTCGGGCGAATCGGGCGAGGTAGGTGTACCATCGTACGGAGGAAGAGTCGCGTCGGCGTGTTTGGTGGGCGTGGAGGGGAGAGAGGGTGGAGGCGGAGGTGGAGGAGAGGGCGGGGGAGGAGGTGGTTGAGCGGTCGACGGTTAGCATTGTCGAAGGAGCATCGCGATCGTCTGACGGTAACGAGTGGTATGTCATCTCCTTCGCCTTCCTCAATGACCGTCCTTCTCTCGAGCGCGGTGGGTTGTTCTCGGGGATGTATGCTGCCAACGCTGCCAACGCTGCAAATAACGTTCGCCCAAGCCGGCCGGGGCTTAGGCTCGGAGGTTTCGCGCCTTGGAGTATGTGGCGAAGGGGGAGCGTGCAGGTGGCGCGGCAATGGGACGTCGGGCCTTACCGAGAACCGAGCGCGCGCGTTTGACAGGCGAAACCCTAACCCTAATACGCGAAACCTCTTGCAACAATCACACTTTACAAATGCTCCTGCTAGTACTATTGCTAGTACATCGACGGGTGATGACATCGAGCGGCCGGTTCGGGCGCCGCGAACCAGTTTGTGGAGACGATGGGCGGGTTCTGTAATGCGGTCGAGACGAGACGAGATACTGCGAGTACTTCGGGACGAGATCTGACGAGTTCGACGAGGTGTGACGAGATGACCAAAGTACTTATTCGAATAGAGAGATGAATTTATTCAGGGTTAGGGTTAGGGTTAGGGTTAGGGTTAGGGTTAGGGTTAGGGTTAGGGTTAGGGTTAGGGTTAGGGTTAGGGTTAGGGTTAGGGTTAGGGTTAGGGTTAGGGTTAGGGTTAGGGT